ATAAATTTTTAAATCGGCTTGTCAAGGTCTTTGAATAGCTTCAGATGCTTATTGACACAAGATTGAGTCTATAAATAATCTAGGGGTTAACAAATATCTGTGTGACATTGAGTTTTCTATCCATGCAAATGTTTTACCCCTTCAACTTTTGGTGTCTTAGTTTACCTAAGTAATGTTTGTAATTTTCCTTGTCACACACCCTTAGTTTATTACACTGCAACATATTTTGCTAATAACATTAATCATATGTTTTTTAGAGATGTTTTCTTCCTATCTCTACATTATCCCTTTTCTTTTTTCTTTTGCTACACAAGTCAGGACATTCAGTGCAATAGTCAGCAGGTACAGTAATGATAAAATCCTCATCCTCTTCCTCATAACAAAGGAAATTCTACCTTTACCCAATAATAATTGACAGCTGTTTTCCACTGATTAAGCAGTTTGTCCTGACGTAAACTCCCTGTCCAGGTGAGAACCTGTGATACCAGAAGTTTCCATCAATTTGGACTGCTACAACAAATTATCAACAATCAGATTTCTCACTGTGAGTCGGAGGGGAGAGGGCCGGCTTGTGGGCTTTGGAAAGGGCCTTCCATAACTGGGATTGACTTCTTTTTCTGTGTCCTCACACAGTGGACTGAGAACTCTCTCTCATGGATTCCTATTCTTATAAAAACACAAATCCCAATATGCGCTCCCATCCCTCAACACACACCATGACCTCATTTAAACCTGATTACCTCACCAGGGCCCAAGTCAAACTGTTACATCTTGGGGATTAGAGTTCCATTACCGGGATTTAGGGGGACACAATTCAGTTCATAAAAGCCACATCTGTCTAAACAGGACACCCCCTCCCCCGCCTTCCACCTGGGCTGTTTCAAATGGATTCGAATAGGCTGAGCTAACTCTCAACTGCCACTCTTCCAGTCCAATTTGGATTGGATATAGGGCAGATTTGCCATTTTTTTCTTCTCATTTTACCCAGTGCAGAGAGGAATTTTCACTGATCATTGTATTCATACAATTACTTATTCAGGTACGGGAGACATCCCCACAGTATCCTTTAACAAAAACCATAATTTCAACATTTAATGAGATGTTAATTTTCATTCGTTTTACAGTAGCATCTCCCTGCACCCCTAAGCCCATCCCTGTCACCCCTGCAGGGATCCTTAGCAGCCCAGGCACTGCTCCTCTACCCGGCTGACCCGAAACAGTCTCTAGTCCCTCAGCCGTCCCTTTCTCCCTTCACCTTCTCGCACCTTCTCCCCCATCCACACCTGGGTGGGCAGGTCCTGAAAGCTGCTCTCAGGATTCACAGGCCTGCTGATTCAGGTGAAAAAGAGCCCAAGGCGCTGGATTCTGAAGGGACTGTGCAGGTGAAATATAGGTCGCAAACTTGGTAGGTTTATTTTTGTAACACTGATTTTTCAGGTAAGGAGATCTCCCTGGACTTTCTAGGTGGACTCACCTAAGCCCTTAAGAACAGAGGCTGGAAGAGAATCAGAGAGCTGCAGTAGAAGGGGAAGGGCGAGAGCCAAGAATTATAAGAAAGGGATCCACTCTCCCTGGCTTGCGGGGAGCCAGTCAAGGAATGCAGGTGGCTTCGAGAAGCACAGAACCCCCTGCCAGCAGCAGCCTCGGGGTTTGGGGATTGAAGCCCCCTATTCTACCAGACCCCTGAACAAGCCTGTCAGGGCTTCTTTCCCAGACCATTCTGACAACTTGACTTTGGCTTTTTGGGACCTGAAGCAGAGGAGCTGGCTTAGCCTGCTGGAGTTATAACCCAGAGACCTTGGATTATCTTCTTGGTCGTGGAACTCAGGCTTAGCTGACCCCCAACCCCCATCAAAAGCGTCTTTTTATTTATTTATTTATACAAGCACTGGTGTACAGGCCAGAGGTGCGGGAGGGTGAGAGAATCCACCAGAGACAGAGCGGGGAGCAGAAAAGGCAGAAGGACGGAGGGCACAGTTGAGGGGAGCAGCGGGCAGGTCAGGAGAGGTCTGCCACACCATATGGGAATCTCCCTGCCTGGCCGGGAATCGAACCAGCGCTGCAAAGGCTTCAAACAGCTTCACAGTGCTGCACTCAACCCGCTGCGCCACCGGAGAGGCCCCAAAAGCATCTTTAATGGGAGTTGCATTTGCCAACCAGAGAGGATGAAGCTCAACCAAACGTGATCTGATCTTTCACTGCTGATAACACAGAGCAGGACCAAGGAACGGAGTTAGCCAACCAACCATCATTCACACTTACCTTCTACTTCTGCTAGCTCCTGGCATTTGGTTTTATCATTTTAAAATTGCAACAGCGGCCTCCCTGGTGGCACAAGGGGTTAATTGTCAGCACTATGAATCAATCTGCAGCGTCTGCAGCACAAACTGGATCCCTAGCCAGGGAGGTGACCCACATGGTGCAGCAGACCTCTCCTGTCTCCCTGCTGCTCCCCTCAGCAGTGGACTTCAGTCAATCTGTCCTGCTCCCCACTCTGTCTCTGGTGAAACCTCTTAACCCCTGCATCTTGGGCCTATACCCCAGATCTTGTATGCATAAATAAATCTTAAAAAAAATTAAAATTGCAACAGAAAGTCCTATTACTAGTAACTGACTTCAAAGCATGTGCTACCTTAAACCAAGTATAGATCAGCATGCATCTCTCTATCAGAAGTTCATTTTCACCCTCTTTATCAGCATCTTTTTAAAAAAAAAAAAATCCCTAAGTTATGGTTTTAGCAAACAATGAATCAAAAGTCTTCTTCTCAATCCCACTCTAATCAAAACTGTATTAATACAGGGTCAAATTGCCAAAGACTCAGGGCCCCCAGTAACAATTCATATAAATCTGTAGTTCATTCATTCTCACAGCTGCCTCATCTGGTTTTGGTGTCAAGTTACACTTGCCTTGTTGGACATATTGGGAGCATATTTTTCTATTCTCTGGAAGAGTTTGAAATTTATTTTTCTAATTCATAAATGTTGGATGGCTCATATAAAAGCAACTGGGCTTGATGTTTTATTTATAAGACAATAACAAACATCTACTTCAATTTGCTTAAATGGCTTCCCAATTATTGTCTTTTAAGTTCTTTAATGGATCTTGGTAGGTTCTATCTTTAGAACTTTTTACTTTAACTTTTAATCTATATGGTCACAAAGTTCTGTATCTTTGTAACCTCTGTGGTTATTATTTCTGTAATTTGTCAAATGGATAAACAAGAATGGAAACTAATACAACTGTCTTTTCATCATTCCATCAAATATTTTTTCAGTGAGGGAAATCTATCTCCATCCCTGTAGGAAAATTCTTACTTGATACAATTTAAGTAACTATTAAATTGTAAGCAGGCTAATAATTTGCATTTCCAACTCTATTAATCAAAACTCTGAACCAGAATTACCAACACAAATGTTTTCCCTTCCTCATCTAGAAACAATTTTAGGCTAGAAACTTGCAGTGGGATAGGGGGGTCTTGACTTACCTGTACTATTTTTTGCCTCCACCAGCCAGTTCACTGGGTTTTTCCTCTTCCAGAGCCAGTAGGCAGAGAGGAAGCAGGGTAGGTGCAGGCAAGTCCTGATGTTAAGGGCAGGGAGAGGGGCAGCCCAAACCCCACAAACCTGCCTGTTCTATATAGGGTTCTGCCATCCGCCACATCAACACAAAACATGAGACTTTCATGGGAAGGAACTTTAATACAACTAGGAAACAATACGGGAAAGGCAAAGAATCTAGTTTCTAAATCAAGCACCCAAAGTGACCCGTCCCCTCGTGGGTAAACCTGTTCTTTAAATATAACTATAATATATATATAATATATAACTATATAATATATATAATATATAACTATATAATATAGAGACTGGTGGAGCTTTAGCATAATTACGGAAAGAAGGTCTATATTCCCTGAGACACAACTTCACTTTGGCTTCCTTGCCCCTCCCAGGCCTGGTTCCCTGGCCTGGGAGTCCCACTTTATTTCTGTTCTTTTTCTCCTCAATAAACTTTTTCTTCCTCTAAACAAACCTGCCTCTTCTCGCTTGCTGGCCTGAGAATCTGCAAAGCTCCTGCTGCGGCTTCGTGAGACACCAACCCTTGGGGGTCTAGTGGCAGGGGCTCAGCGCTGCCCTGCAGCCTGGAATCCGTCCCTGGCTGGGAGACCAGGCCTGACAATTCCGGTATCGATTTGGTATCAACAACATGTTCAATAATCGATTTACTCTAAATCCTGAGATTCTGTCTTAAAGTATTTCTCTAAGTTCAGATGACAGCTTCAGGGACCAAAACAGCAGTATATTAAATAGCACTTACTTCAAAAATAATCAGAAAATAGAGGAAGAAGTTATCAAAACAAAACAAACCAAAAACAAACCACACACATCCTCCTATAATTAACGTCATACGAGGGAAAAATTACCAGGGGACTCTTTAGTTGGCCAAAATGCTTCCCCAGAGCCCACTCGCTGCCATCAGACAGATCTTGCAACCAGTTGCAAGAATTCCCGGGAAATTCAGGAGGCCCCCCAAGATCCCCCCAATTTCCCCGGAAATTCAGGAGCAGGTTCCGAGTCCCGCCTCCCCAACACCTGGGGCTCACGCGCAGGAGGGGGCGGCGAGCGGCAGGTGGCCGAGGGCCCCCACATCCACGCGCGGGGGGGAACAGCCAACCTCCCGGGAGCGCCCCCAGCCCGCCCCCAGGGCGCCCCCACGCCGGGCTCCCACGCTCCCCGAGGCGGGCGGGCGCACCGAGGCGTCGACACCGCGCCTGCGCCCCGCGCCCGTGCCGCGCTCCTGCGCCTGCGCCGCGGTCCGCGCATGCGCCCGAGCCCCGCTTCTGCGCCTGCGCCCGAGCCTCGCGCATGCGCCGCGCCGGAGGCGGCGGGTCCCGGGAGGTGCGGGAGGCCGGCCTGCCCCGCCTCCGCCCTCGGCCCAGCGGCCCTTCCGCGCCTCGCGGCCCGGCTTCCCTTTCCGGGAGCGCAGGCGGCGGCCGCCCGGGCGCGCTCTCTCCTCCTCGCAGAGCCGGCCCTCGCGGCTTCCCTGCGTGAGCATGGCGGCTCGGGGGCGCGGGGCCGCCCTGCGACTCTGCGCCACAGGTGAGGCCGGCGGGGCGCGCGGGCGCGGGGCCCTCCCGGGGGGCGCGCCGGGTGGGGCGGCTGCGGGTCCGCCTGTGCCTCCTCCCCGCGCCGGGGCTCCCCCCGCCGGCGGACGCGGCGAGGCTGCTCGGCGGCTGCGCGGAGACCCGGGCCCGGCGGGAGGCCCGGTCCAGGCGGAGAGCCGGTCAGGTGGGAGGCCCGGTCCATGGGGGGAGGTCCGGCCCAGGTGGGAGACCCGGTCAGGTGGGAGGCCGGGTCTGGGAGGCCCGGTACCGGCGGGAGGTCCGGTCCAGGGGGGAGACTCGGTCAGGTGGGAGGCCCGGTCCAGAGGGGGTCCGGCCATGGTGGGAGATCCGGTCAGGTGGGAGGCCCGGTCTAGGGGGAAGGTCCGGTCCAGGCGGGCGACCCGGTCTAGGGGGAGGCTCGGTCCAGCGGGAGGTCCGGTCCAGGCGGGAGATCCGGTGCAGGCGGAGACCCGGTCCCGGCGGGAGGTCCGGTCCGGGCGGGAGACCCGGTCAGGTGGGAGGTCTGGTCCAGGCAGGAGACCCGGTGCAGGCGGAGACCCGGTCCAGACGGGAGGTCCAGTCCCGGCGGGAGACCTGGTCCCTGCGGGAGACCCGGTTCAGGCTGAGGCCAGGTCAGGTGGGAGGCCCGGTCCAGGCGGGAGGTCCGGTCCAGGCGGGAGGCCCGCGCCCCCGTCCCGGGTGGCAGGAAGGCCAGGGGCGCCCACTCCACGGCCCCGAAGGATGCCGCCCTCCAGCTTGGGGCCACATCTCATAGGCCTTAGGGTCTGAGTCGTCTTTGGCGAATATTAACCCACCCGGGAGCTAAGAGCGATGGCCAAGGACAGATGATGGTCAGGCCCCCGGGGTGGGAGGTGGGAGGTCACCTGAGTGTGTAGCGCTCCTCCCGGTACCATCTTCGGGTACCCTGGTTCTCATTATGGTGTGTTCACTTGGACTCAGCAACTCTGTAGTCGCCCCATGAGCCAGGTGCTGGGCTGTAGGGAGAATCCTGGTGTAGCTCTGTCCACGTGGAGAAACTGTTAGTATGTGAATTGCACTTGGCGTTTATAACTGAGGCGATAACTGGCTGCTAGTGAAAGAGGAACGCTGCAGAAGAACCATATTCTTTATGTATTCGGAAAGGGTGGAATAGTAACGAGGAAGAAGAGGTTGAGAGTAATAAGCATGTTGCAAAAGGACCTCTGGCTGAGATCTGCTGTCCCACAGACACCTTGCCTGTCACAGTATGGCTGCATGCGAAAAAAATATTTATTCAACTTAGGAGCTGTTTAGGCTGTTGCATCATTTGTGCCTTGGAGTGAATCATGACGCATTTTTTGTAGGTTGCAAAAATCAGAAACATTTCATAGGTGACTAAGCATGTAGTCCAAGCCAAGTGGTAAATGGGTATTTACAGTGGAGGCTACAATTTTCTTTTTCTTTTTCCCAGTTATTTTGCTTGATATGGTGCTCAGTAAAGGATTTGTAGAAGATTTGGATGAATCGTGAGTATATGTATTTTTAAATAGTATCTTAATTTCTTCCAACTCTGATGTTAATCTGAGTATTTGCATGAATCTAATCATAAAGAGTCTGTAATGAGAGACGCTTACATAGCACTAATTTCGCCCCAGGAGCTGGCCTAAGTGCTGTATTCCTGCAGAAACGGGGTTGTGCACAAGAGTTTGAGAAAAGGAGGTCATTTCTTCTATGTTCTGTTTGATCATCACTTTGACAATTTTTTTCTGCTTTTAATCCAGTGGCTGCTGGATTTAAGTAACTGCAATATTTTGTCTTTGTGGAACCATAGTAGTGTTAAACCCAAGACCTTGCTTATTGTAGGTGAGGAGTCCTGTTCCAGACCAAAAGCTGGGCATGATCTTTCAGGCCCGACTATAAAATTGCAAGACTTTTCTTGGCAGACTCAGAGGGGAAGCTGGCCTCCCCACACCAGCCTGCACTGCGTCTCTGGAGGGAGTGGTAGTCATGGACTCCAGCCCTTTGGGCCAGGCACGCTCACGTGTGTTTCGCATCTCTGGCCGCTTGCCTCTCTTTGAAGTTCTCCTTGTTGGGGGCTTCACCTCAGGCATTGCTGAGCCCTTATGGAGGGGCTCAGACTCAGTACTTTTCCACTCCTAGTCCTTTTCCCTCTCCCTTCCTCTGCCCACAGCCAGCCAAGAGGTCTTCGGTTCACTGCTTCTCAGCAGTGAGATGAAGTCCTCTGCTCTGTGTCCACCTGGCCCTCGCCTGGTGGGCCAGGGCAAAATGGAACTCTGTTCTTTTTGCAAAAATGGAACTCTGAGCAACTGGCATCTTTTTTTTTTTTTTTTAACCTCTTTACTTGCATTGTTGCATTAAAAGTGAGGTCTTGGTTGTCAGAGTTTGGCTCGTTGTCTTAAAACCACCTCTACAGGGCACAATCAGTGCACTCCAGGGCGGTCATCGAGGAGGAGCTAAAAGCACCAGAGTTCTGTGGGTGCTTCCCCGCCATGTTAATGTTTTACAAAGCTGTCCACATTTCCCCCCCTCTCTGCTGTTAAGGGGTAGGCTATAGTATGGAGAAAAAAAGAAAAAAAAACCTCCTGGAGGGGAGCACTGTGTTTCTTCTGCATCCATGACAACTACCTAAGGGGATGATACAAGGACACAGCCCAACAAGTATTGGACGCCGTGGGGATTCACAAGTGCCACACTGCCAGACCTTTGCCACAGGCAAGAATCTGGTACCGGACTGAATTCCTGGGCATGAGCTGGGAAGCAGTACTACATTGAGTTCCCGAAAAGATTATTACCAAGCTCTTGGACCTTTCCGACCAAAAAAAAAAGGAAAAGAAGACTCAGGAATTGGTGGGCCTGTTTGGCAACTGATGCTGTCATGAAACACGTGGAGATCTTGATGTCACCCACCTGCAAGGTTACCAGAAAAGCTGCTGCTTTGAGTGGGGTCCCAACAAAGAGGGTATCCTGGAAGCCCCCAACAGAACACCAGAGCTCCCTTTTCCTGGGTCCTGCTGATCCACACCTCCATTTGATGTACATGTCTAAGCAACAGAACCGTTCTCTCATTGGTGTCTGTCGCAGAGGGTTAATCTCCCAGGCCAGCAAGGACCTGTAAGCGCCCCAAGTTGGCTGAAAGATACACGCCCCTTGAGAGGCAATTAATGGCCTGTTGTTGGAACTTGGTGAATGATACAAGGGCGCAGCCTTGAGTGTAGTATGAGGTTCATGAGCTGAAACCCCAGTCACGCTGAAGGAGACTTGGCTTTCACCAGGCACATAAAGGAGCTGCATAGCGGACAGCTGGGTGCAGTGTTGACAACTAGTTGACTGTCCAGTTCCTCTACCTCCTACTCCTCACTTCACCCCAGCAAATGAACCCTCCTGTATTTTCACTGATCCATGGACTGCCACTCATGGCGTGGCCATTAGTTGTGCACCCCCTGGGGAGAGGAGCCTTTGGATGGAGATCAGTTCTCCTAATAAACATTTGTCACCTATGCGGATGCTCACCAGAAAGGCCTGGTGTCGACAAAGGGGATCTCAACCAACACACATGTCACCCTTGCCGGCTTCCTACAGAAACTGACAAGCAGACATGTAACTGATTATCTCCCGGGTCCACAAGAGGCTGACCCACAGAAATTTAGGCACCATCCTGGACTGGATTGGCATGCACAGATGCCAGTGTTGGGGGAGTACACCAGAACTGCATGGGGAAAGTTGTCCAACTGATCAGACCCTAGTCCACATAAAAAGTGTTGCCTAGAAACATGTTCCTTTAAGTTGGGGGCCAGGACAGTCTCAGCAGATGGAACACATTGGGCCTCTCATCCTGTCTATCATCTTTTCTTGAGTCTTGATTATAATTGACACTCTCTGAGTTTGGCCTAGTCACTCCCATTTGATCCATTAACCCAGGCCTCACTATTCAGGTCCGATGCCACATTTGTTTCCTGTTCAGGTCCTTGAGAGCTGGCACTGCATCTTGTAACAGGCCTGGATTTGTGGCTCAGGCTCAGACTACTTGTCAGTGGACACAGTCATGTAGCATACAACAGACTCCATGTCCTGTATCACTCCTTATCCCCTGGGGTGGTTGAACATTTTAATGAATAATTGAAGTACAGGCTTCATCAGCTGATGGGATGGTGTAAGATTACCCCAGGCAAGCGGTTGGGGTCTCAGGGCAGCATTTTTCCAGTTAGGTACTTCTTTTTAGCACTGCGTGTTTGACCAGGTGGTCTGCTCCCCTCCTTCACCTGCATACCCTCTTACAGTTGCTCTGTTCTCCCTGGGAGACCCTGGATTCCATAGCTTTACCTTTTCCAAAGACTCAGATCAGTGCGAGATGAGAATGGCTGTTAAACATCAAGGAGTGGAAACCAGTAATCTCCATTTTCCACTGGGTGCAGCGTTTACGGGTGTCTAGTTCCGCCACTTCAGGTGGCTGAGCCTCTTTGCCTGGGTTTCCCCCCAGGACAGATGTCAGCATATAGGATAGAACTCTACTAAACACCGGGGAGCAAAGCCGGGAGATTTGGGTTCACCAGCCTAGGGGATTGGTAGGGTGCTCCCGCTCCCTGTAGTACAGTTCAGACTGGCACAGTTGGATAAACCTGAGCACCTTTGGATCTAAGAGCTCAGACGTGGGGATTTGCTCTGCATTATTTGTAGGTTTAAGAGTTTTATTTAAATATCCCTCGAGAGAACTTTCGTCATTTATCCAATATAGACTGAATTAGGTCACTGTGCTGGACATTAGAAGATGAAACAAACATGACAAGAAAAAAATAGGTGAGATTGTTTTCTGACTGAGGAATTTAAAAAGGCACGAAGTAAGCAGTGCTTCTAGCTGGAAAGGACTTGACCATGAATGATGTAGGAAGTCGGATAAACATTGTGAACCTAGCTGTGATGTCAGTAGATGCCATAGTTTGATTAGAAAGATAAGTTGGAGCCAGATAAGTGTGGGGATTTGTACTTTTCTTTTGTAGGTGGTGAAAGTGGGCCTAGAAGGTGCCAACTAAGAGGAAAGTGATCCTGATTACAACTTAGGGAGATTGTGTGGCCACAGGGTGTTGTGTCATGGTTCTCAAAGCACCCCACTGATCAGTACTGACTAGGAGCTCACACAGTAATTGACTCAGCCTGCAGGCAGAGCTATAGCTCCGAGGTGTTACAGTGAAAGGACACAAGGCACCCTCAGCAAAGGGGGGTTAGCACGTGGGGTGAATTCTGGGGGAATCCGGAAGCAAGTTTCCAAGCAGAATACCAAAGGACGAGTTTAATTCCTCCATGGGGGGCAGTGTGAAGTGTCATCTACCAGAGAAGTTCCTTAGAGACTCAGTGCCCAGGGATTTTATTGGCATTCTTGTAAGCACCCTTCTGCCTCTTCTGTACCAAAATTTCAGACTCCTAGAAGGAAAGCAGCTGTTTTTTTGTAAAACTGTGTTGTTTGCATGCATCACATAGGAATACTGAGCTTATCAAAAAATGGTGTGGGCGCTCTTTGAAGTTCAAGATCCCAAATGAAAACCAAGAAGCAGTCTTGCGAAGCAGACCTCTCTCAGGACAGCAGCCCCGGCCTGCGCCGTCACTTGTCTCGCGCAGGTGTAAAGGGAACAGAGGCACATGGTTGTGTTTCAGCCAAGTAACAATTTTTTAGATTCTTTACTCCTACTTTTATGAGTTCTTTACTTTCATTAAGATGTTTAATGATTAAGATTTAGAGATCACTGAGTACAAATTTTACGTGAGATTTTATTGAAGAATTTGTTCCGGGCTCTCATATACATCAACTTACCATCCCTAGTTATTCTATTCAGTTGTGAAGTGAAACAAACATACAAGCAAAGATTGATTTTCTTTTTGTTTTCTAGGTTTAAAGAGAATCGAAAAGATGATATTTGGCTTGTAGATGTGAGTATGTAAATTTTTGTATTAATTAGCTTTTCCTACCAATTTAGTATTTCTCTGTTCTCCACCCAAATATGACAGTATGTCATTGTACTGTATGTCATTCAATTTTTTTTTTAGTTTTTTTTTTTTCTTTCTTTTTATATTAAAGTGAACCTCAGGAGCCAAAACCGTTTCCTGGTGGTGGAATCTGGTTTTGACGAGGCTGACATGTGGCTTGTGTCTGAGGGAGGTTATGGCCTCTGATTTCACCGCAGATTCCTCCTTGTTTCTTCGTGTTCCCCAGAGATCGAGCGTGTTAAAACTGCTTGGCAATCAAAATCATATATTCACCTTCTGTCCTCATTTTCAAGTTCGGGACATGTTTAAGGGGATTTGTTTTAACGTGTCTCAGTGAAAAGGTAGAGTGTCAGCAAAATGGAAGCAAAGAGAGTGGCGGAGCTGGCAATTTCTGAAGCTCAGGATGTGGGGGGTGAGCTCCCCTTAAGTGTTTTTCCTTTAGTATATGTTTGAACACTTCAATATAATGCTCAAGAATAGATAAATTTTGTTCCATAAAAAATACAACAAGCTGTTTGTTACACTATTTAACTAGGAGGACCTAAGTAACCACCCCAGCTATCTGGTGGTTAGAAAGAAGAAAGAAACTCTGGTTTTGGTTAATCACCTGGTTTGTTCCTGTGCCAAACCCCTCATCTCAGTGACCTCACCTGTTCCCCATGCGTTACCCTTAAAGTAGCCAAGGCACCTGCTGTGTTGGAACCCTTATACTAGAAACAGTGTCTATCATTTACATGTCAGAGTATGCACGTGGTGTGTATTTGATGGTTTCACTTTACGTATGACAGAGAACGATGTTTTTATTGTAAACCACATGTCTATTTTGAAAAGCTATCAGGCATTATGTTCTTTAAAGTAAACTTGAAGTGTTAGTGTTGAGGAATATGCTGGGTATTAATCTGGCTCTGTGTGTGTGTTATCTGTTAAGTGACCACTTTAAAAATTATACGTGCATGTCTGTACTTCTGAAAGAGACTATTAGAAGATCATTTAAAGTGACTATTTTAAAATTAAGATTATGTCCACAATAGTGGTTGTCTTTTTATTTTATTTTTTTTTTTTTTGAACAAGTTTTATGCACCGTGGTGTGGCCATTGTAAAAAACTGGAACCGATTTGGAATGAAGTTGGTCTTGAGATGAAAAGCATTGGGTCGCCAGTTAAAGTTGGAAAGATGGATGCTACTTCCTATTCTAGTAAGCATTACTCAGTTTATCATTTTTACTGTTCTTGTCATGAAGATGTTTTAATTACTGATGCAGTATTCAAGGTAGGAGGAAAATGTATTTTTTTTACTCATGTAAAATTAAAGTTATCTTAATAATTCAAGACTCTTGTTGACTAAATTACCCATTGAATGTGTAAAATGAAATATATGGTAAATTCATGCGTGACATGATGTGTAAGCTATTATTCCTTCTTTGAACATACTTAAGGTAACGTGTTCATCTGAGGCAGCTATAGAAACTGGAATGTGAAACCGTTGATTTTGCTGTGTGAATTAATAATGAGAGTTTGTTGTCTGAGTTGCCTGACGTGGCACTGATAGGGGAGTAAACGGGACTTGGAGAATAGGCTAAGATAATTGCGAGTGAAGAAGACTAGAGCAGAATCATGGAGTTGAAAGTGAGTTTAAATGGTGTATACTGGAGAATAGAATGTCTTAAAGCCGAGGTTGGCAAACTGTGGTTCATGGATGGGTTTGGGCTCCACACCTGCTGTTGTAAAAGGAGCAGTCTTGGAACCCAGCTGTCCTCCCCTGCTGACTATTGTCTGTGGCTGTTTTTGTGCCAGTGGCCGAGTGGAGCAGTTGTAACAGACACTGTGAGTCACAGTCGCTGTTAGACCCTTTACAGAAAAAGTTTACCTACATCTCTCTTAAAGGATGTGGGAATAGAAGAACTTAAGTTTAGAGTCGTTCCAGGCATTGTGAAGTCTGGAAAGAGCAGCCTGCTGCAGACCGCAGGCCTGGATTCACACCCGTTGGGTGGCATTTGGGGAGTTTCTTGACATCTCTAAGCTCTACTTTGGAAGTGTTTGATCTAGAGCTGTTTTCTTTGATTGTTTTGAGATGTAAATTACGTACCACATGTGAAGTCCCTTGTTGTTTTCAATTAATGTAGTTTCTGTTTCCTTTAATTTTTATAAAGAAAGTGAGGTATGTAAGGTATATTTTTAGGAAAACAGCCTTGTACTCTGGACGCAGTTGTCTATGGAGCAAGACAAACGTGTTTTACTTACAGCTCTGCCTCCACGTCCTGCTTATGTGGCTTTGGGGAAGTGCACAGTCTCTTTTTATGTCAGTTTCTACACCTGTGGACAGGAGGGTGATAATCCTCATGGTTGTGAGGATAAATTATTTCATATTAATATTTCATATTTTTTGTATTTAATGTTTCATATTAAAAACACAAGGTGATAAGGGGTAATGCCAGATTTTAGGGCCTCCCAGGCCAAAGTGTTTTAGATTCTATTAGTTGCCACTGGGAGGTGATACAGTGTTTTGAAAATGTGCATCACTCCGTGAACATGCTTACAGCAGCAGCGTGTAGGGTGGAGAGGAAGAACACTCAGAGACAGGAGATCATCATCGTGGACTTTCGTGTGCATCCGCCACAGCACGCTGGAGCCCAGACTCTGCTTGTGGGAGTAAAGAGGAGGCAGTGACTTATATTTTCAAGGATGAAATCACAGATGTGACGGATTGGCACTGGAACATAAAGAACAATAGAAAACAATATAATTTTTTTTTTTTTTTTTTTAAGATTTATTTATTTATTTATTTATACAAGCACTGGGTACAGTCAGCAGCACGGGAGGGTGAGAGAAATCACCAGAGCCAGAGTGGGGAGCAGAACAGGCAGAAGGACGAAGTACACTGCTGAGGGGAGCAGCGGGCGGCAGGAGAGGTCTGCGCGCCATGTGGGACCCTCCTCTGGTGGCCGGGAAGCAGCCGGGGATTGAACCGGCGCGACAGAGGCCGCGGGCAGCTTCGCAACCCAGCGCTCAACCACTGCGCCACCGGGGAGGCCCAGAAAACAATATAATTCTTAGAGTAGTTTTTGAACTGTACTACCACTGGCTAAATGGGAAAGATGGTAAATTTAAATTTTTTTTAAAGATATATTTATTCATGCATACAAGAACTGGGGTACAGGTCAGTAGTGCGGGAGGGTGAGAAGATTCACCAGAGACAGAGCGGGGAACGGGACAGGCAGACTGACTGAAATACACTGCAGAGGGAAGCAGCAGGCAAGACAGGAGAGGTCTGCTGTGCCATGTGGTGATCTCCCAGGCCAGCCGGGATCAAACCCGCACCGCAGAAAGCTTCACAGTGCTGCGCTCAACTGCCTGCGCTACCAGGGAGGCCCAGTTTTTGTTTTGTATTGATGTTAGCAGCTGTTTGGAATTTGTGCTCTTTTGCTTTATTGATGCTTGGAAATAGGGAACAAGGAGATGAGCTGTGAAGCTGGAATTGAGCCCCATAGTTGGATTGTTGAAACTCTCAAGAAGAGCTGCATGGCAGAAAGATTTTGTACAGAGAGGATAATGTGCTTGAGTTGATATTTCTTGAAATAAGCTTTTTAGAACAATGTTCGAGAAATTGATGCTGCCAGCTCTTGCTCATGAACGCGAGTTCTTGTTTTAGGCCTATCTGTTGGTTAGACACGCACGCCCCTGCTTCCTCACAGGAGTCATCCAGATCCGGTGCGGAGCCTTTTACTCACTGCTGTTTGTCAAGTTCAGTCCTCATTTCTCTAGATTAAAGAAAGAACAAAAGCAAATCCTTTCAGTCCTGGAAATGCAGGAGAAAGAGGCCCAAACCAGCAAATGCAGTAAAATCCAAAGTGACAAATACTTGTGATCACCTCAGCCATTTAAAGGAGTAATAGTGTATAAAGGAGTATAAGGGAATAGTGTATAAAGGAGTATAAAGGGAAAATAATGAAAAAACAGTAAAAATAGAAAAGGAAAAATAGTACCTCTATACATCAGCCAGATCGTAAAGGCGAGCCATTCGTGTGATGAATCATTCATGTGGTAACAGTTTATATTAAGTCAAAAATTGTTTTTATAGTATCTAATTCATTAGTTTATTATTCTGTATTTATTAAACATCCCTGTGTGCCACTGTTAGGGGGTACTGTGTTAGGGAGAAAATAGCCAAGACTTTTTGTCTCAGTAGCTTAGAGAAGAAAGTGTTTTAAATGTCGTGATTAAAAAACAATATTACTTTTTTCCAAATTATCTGTTGGGGTAAAGTAGGTTTACATATACGAATCTTTTCCTGGGGTCACAGGTTCCAATCTCTGCGAGCGTGTACTTCACTTCACCCCACCCCACCCACTCCCCCACGTGCACCTCATCGCCCGCCATCTCTAGTCACCTCAGTTTTACAGCCAGATGTTAGAAAACCACTTCTCTTTGGGAAAAGGGAAAGGGAAAATGGTGTGTACTGCACACTGTCCTCTACAGGTACCTCATTCCCTGAGCTCCTCCCCCTCCCCCAGGCTGTACCCCAACCTCATGGCCATGTAAACCTTTTACTATTACTACTGGGATCATCCAAGCAATGTTTGCTGAAAAAAATTATTCTTCTGTGGAAAACATGTGGCCTCAGCGTTCATTCATTCTGCAGCTATTTAAAGCTAACCCTCTGTCAGGGTGTGCCAGGCACACTTTGGTGAGCAAAACAGGCAGAACTTTTAATTCTTTTATTTATGTATAGTGGGGATTGCCAGACAATATCCAATAAGCATAACTGAGTTTTCTGGGGTTAGTGTTTGGTGTCAGTGATGAATATACTTTGTACTTTATTACAGAATCAAGGAGGTTTTTTTTTTTAATGTGTTTTACGGAGCAAAACATGTCACCTCCCTCTTTTTAAAAAAAGTTGACAAGGTTTCAGAAGCTGCTATCTAGAAAATACAAATTCATTTTTGGTATATAATTCTTAAAGCTGCCCTGAATACTTCAAGATAGCTCAAGTACAGGCATTTTATTCCCCGAGTAGAACTTAAACAGGCAAAGAAATGGAATGTTTCTCTAAGCGGGCCGCTGTCGCTGTTCTCTGACTGTGGAACACCGAAGGGTGGGCTGCCTGCTGGAGCTCTGAGCCCCCAGGCCTTCCTCAGGCGCTCCCGCATCAGTGTCCTCACCTGCCTGCGGACTAGACTGCCTGCTGCGCCCCATGGAACCTCAGGCTACTCCAGCCAAAGGATTGTCTTTGAGACAGAGAGTGTCTCATGAGTGTCAAGAGAATTGGTATTTTTCATCCTGCCCATGTGTTTGAAATTATGCCAAAAATTACTCTATGTTTGGTTTCCACTGTAATCAAATAGTTTGAAAATTATACTGTCAAGTATAAGTTTATATATATATATGCAGCTCTCTTTGTGCATATCCCTTTAAAAATGAGCACTAAATTGCTTGCCATTCAGCAGTTTAAATCGGTAGGGTCTTACCTGTAATGATTTCTGTAGTGAAATTTTGTCCATTTCTCAACCTTAGTGAGGTCACATTTACCTCTCTTGGTAGGGGAACATGCAGTGGCATTTGGTCAGAAACACTCTGTGGCGCCAGTGTTCCTGAGCGCTGTAGGATGCTGAGCTGCATCCCTGGGAATGTGGGGGAGCAGCAGCAGAGAAGTTAAGAAACTCCCCTGAAATTGCATAAATACTAATTGGCAGCCTTGGGCCCCGCACCCTTGTCCTGACATGTCTGTGATACACGCTTGTTGTGTGTGTGTGTGAATTGCACAGCCCTTTTCATCTGGGAACCTGTATTTGAAGTTTTAGGAGTAGGTGGTATTACACACCTCCATCATACAGGTGTGACAGCTGAGGTCAAGGAAATGAAGGGCTAGAATTGGGATTTTTTTTCCCTCCCTGAAGTTTGAGGACCACAGCATCAGGCTATAAAAATGCCACCACTTAGTTTCTTCCTGATTGGGTTTTTCCTTTATTTGATTTGAGAATAAATAAATGTTATGATAAATTTTAAAGGTTTAGCTCATTTTATTGCATGTCTCCTAAGTGTGTGTTTTATAAAACCTGCACCAGCAAATAGAATACAATTCAGATAATGGTTAGCTTATGCTTTGTTTTTTGCAATAAATCGCAAAAAATTTTCTGAATTAAAGTATGTGCATTTTTAAGACAATACTATTGCACACTTAGTAGACTAGAGTGTAAACATAAAATTTATATGCACTGGAAAATGGAAAAGTTCACGTGACTTGCTTTATTAACGGTGCTCACTTTATTGTGGCAGTTCTGGAACTGAGCTTCCAGCATTTCCAAGATTTGCCTGTATTAGGAGTCGCTGGTGGATGTACCCCAGCCCTCTAATCTTTGTATCTTGGCAGTTTTTCATGAGTCTTAGTTGAAGGTAATCAGGGCTTGTATTTACCTGCCTCCTTAATATGAGGAAGGGGTGTTAGGAACACACTCTACTCAGATGATATTCCTGAAGTCTTTGTGTTTACTTGGGAGAAGGTAAGCTCACTAACAGCAATTTTCAGTTGGGATGTACTTAATAGAATTAAGTCTTAAAATAAAGATGGGCACAAATAAGTCTTTGGTCTAAGGTCACATGGCTGTTAAAAGACGGCATCTGTATCTTCAGATCCTGCATTATTTATGTTACTTCCTGCAATTTGTGTTCCCTCTATGAAAACCAGTGTTACCAATAAATATAAGTAAAACTGGGCAAGTCTGAATCAGAAGGGTTCACTCTCAGTAGCCTGGTGAGGATACCAGACTAATTCCGTTTATATTCTTTTTAAGATTTAAAGAAAATCTGTATAGGTTTGTATAAGTATATCTATATATTTTTTAAAGTAAAAGGCTCATTTATTACCTAGTTTCTCATTTTAAAAAAAAATTTAGAATTATTTATTCTTTTTCTTATCAAGGCATTGCTTCAGAGTTTGGAGTTCGAGGTTATCCAACAATTAAGCTGTAAGTTGAGTGTTATATGTTTATATGTGTATATTTATTAGTTCACTCTACTTACGTTTTATTACATTAATTTCTAGTAGCTTCCTGGAGCAGTGAAGATTTGAGTTCAGCAGTTCTTTCTAGGTGCAGTATGTGATGAGAGGAGAGGGGCTGCATCTCTGTGCTCTCCTTGTGTTAAGTAAATGTGTTGTTTATGGCTCATTCACTGCGCTGACTGTGCGGGACGAGGTCCAGTCAGTCTGTGAGAGGCCTCCTGCCCACGGAGGTCAGGAATCTCTTCTGCTTTTTCACGTGAATTCTGTCTCCTAACAAATTTTACTTTCCTATAATTAGACTTATTTTTGAGAGATGAATCAGTTTGATGGATGTTAATTCTAATCTGTAGGTGTTGATGGAGTCTAATGTGGAGTGTTTAATTTGGCAGAAATGGTGTGGTAATTCCAAAGGACTTATATTATAAACATGATTTTATTGGATTTCTCATGATTTTCATCCTTATTTTGATAATGTGGGAAGTTGAGGAATTATTTTGAAACTTGTTTTTATAATAAAGCAAATTTTTATTTCAGTATTTTAAAACTTCAAATTTAAAAATTTAACTAATTTTAATTTTTTATTTCTTATATTATGTGTGGACCTTCTTTCTTCCACCTCGTTAAAAATAGTTTTCTCAGCTACTTCTACTTTCTTGTGTTAATTATCTTTTCTATTCTTTCTATTTAATTATGGATGTTCTGTTTGTGCTTTTACAATTATTTTACAAATTTTTATTTATTTGAATACATGTAATTTTAATACAATACAGCATTTTTCTTTACATTTTGAGTTGTTGTTCCCCAGAAACCAGTTGCTTACTTCTAAAATTCTACAGCTATTATTTTGTATATTGTAGTTTTATGTAGCAATAGTAATTAACACTAAAAACTAAAGCAGTTGAAATAATGCAAGCTTGTAATTTTTTGTTTTTTTAAGATTAAAGGGGGACTTGGCATATAATTATAGAGGACCACGAACTAAAGATGATATTATTGAGTTTGCACACAGAGTGTCTGGGTAAGTTCTTACTCGGGAAGGCTCTTATTATATTACTACATTTTCTATATATGAAAAATTAAATGTGTTTTAATAGATCATTTTGAGTGTGTATTTTAGGGATTCGACCTAAATGAAATTGGTTTACTTGTGAGAAAAGGTAAGATTATGTAGCACATGCAAAAAAAACTCTTTCCTTTAAGGAAACAAAAGGGCCTGTTATTTGTGTTATGTACTTGTGACCTCACATTTATTTATTTATTTTTAAATATTTTATTATTTTTGTGTAGAAGAACTGGGGTATAGGCCAGAGGTGTGGGGGATAAGAGGATTCACCAAAGACAGAGTGGGGGGCAGAACAGGTGGATCTACTGAAATACACTGCTGAGGGGAGTAGAGACAGGAGAGGTATGCTCCCTGGTGGGGGTTTGAACTCAGGCCCTTGCTCTGGGCCTTTGAGGTGGTGGGGCTAAGACTTAACCCCTAAGCTACCAGGGAGGCCCTTGTGACCTCACATTTAAATTCACTTTGTGTATAGAAGAATTTTCCCCAGTGGATTTTATTTTTTATTTATTTATATATTTTTTTATTTTTATTATTTATTTATTTATTTATACAAGCACTGGGTACAGACAGAAGCACAGGAAGGTGAGAGAACTCACCAGAGCCAGAGCAGGGAACAGAGCAGGCAGGAGGACCGAAGTACACTGCTGAGGGGAGCAGTGGGCGACAGGAGAGGTCTGCACGCCATGTGGGACCCTCCTCCGGTGGCCGGGGAGCAGCCGGGCATCGAACTGGCACTGCAGAGGCTCCGGGCAGCTTCTCAACCCAGCGCTCAACTGCTGCGCCACTGGGGAGGCCCCTATTTATTTTTTTTTTAAAGATTTATTTGTTTATTTATACAAGCACTGGGTATAGTCAGAAGCGCGGGAGGGTGAGAGAATTCACCAGAGCCAGAGCTGGGAGCAGAGCAGGCAGACTGACAAAATACACTGCTGAGGGGAGCAGTGGGCGACAGGAGAGGTCTTCGCGCCATGCGGGACCCTCGCCTGGCGGCAGGGGATCGAAACGGCGCTGCAGAGGCTGTGGGCAGCTTTGCAACCCAGCGCTCAACTGCTGCGCCACCGGGGAGGCCCGCCAGTGGATTTTAAAGAACATTTGCAAAATTTGATTTTACAGATGGCTATGTTGTAAATCTTAATCTATTACTATAATTTTGCTTTTGTAGTGCCCGCTTTATGGCAGTTTACTTTTATTGTTACTTACTTTTAGAGTTTTTAAAGAAAACCCCACTGTGTTATCATTCTTAATAGATTTGGGCTTTAATCTCTAGCATGTGATGCTGGAAAGTGCTTTTTAGATACAACTAAAATACTGTTCCTGATCTATCACATTATGCCTAATGCCAGCTGTGAGGTAATAGTGCATTTTTTACTTAGGATATAGCATAATTAGAGTAGAAAGACTGAATTACAGAGCTCTGAAGTTTTACTGACAAGGAAATAGTTTCTTCCATAGGCATCTCCTGTAGGTTTGATTATGGTGATTTAAGAAAAAATAAAATGACCTTCTTGGGATATAAAGAAAGTTACTGCTCCAGAGAGGTTTACCTATATTGACTTAAGCTTAAATCATATTGTAGGCACTTTCTTATGATTTAGACAGGATATGCTACATTGATAACTTGAAATACCTTTAAGATAAATTGAAATGTTGGGATGAATTTCTTGGGTGACTTGGTATTATTGGCATAAATTACTTGATAAAAGGCACAAGACTGGGAATGATATTTGTATATTGAAGTTTCTAAAGTTTATTAATATAATTTTCACTGTATTATTGACTGCATATTTCATATTCTTTATTTGCTTTGTGAATAAATAAGTTATGGGATAATTTTATATTTCATGAGGCGATTGCTAGTGGATGTACTTACTCCCCCATGATTTGTATTAGTCTTTGTTAGCACTTTTTAATGAGTTTTAGTTTAAGCTTAGGAAGGAAGGGCTTCTCCTGATGTAACTAGGGATGACTTTATTGCAAATGAAATTTCAAGAGTCGGTTTTGAAATTGCATCACTTACTAGTTAATGACCAAAGTATTAAAACAGAGACCAGAGTGATGCAATACATCTAAAGACTTGTGTGTTTCCAAAATAGGTTTCCCCTTATAAAAATGCATTTTATTCTTTTTGTAAATTGGTGGAGTAAAACTCTGACAAAACAGACCACATTTAAAAGAAGACTGCCTCTTATTTTAGTTTTTTAATTATATTTTTCGAATGATATGATTTATAATAACATTTGCTGTCACTTTTCACAGTCTGTTTCACTTTGAAATCTGCTTTATAATAAAACTCAGTAGATTTGTTTTCTCCTTTTGAGCTTCTTGTGACTGCTAGGACTTACCATTCTCCATTTAATTTTTCCTGGAAAAAGTAACATACTTATAAACCATTTTAGATTTTAATCTCAATAGGGCATTTTAAAACTATATTAACATTTAAGTTGACAGGAAGAGACATAGTCCTAATATAGTATTATAAACTCCTGGGATAGTATTTCAGTGTGTTTGTGTGACTGATCTTTGGAAAGGGAGAAAAATAATTCTCATGTGTGGTGTTTTGTTTTTAGCTGAAGACTCACTTAAATGCACTATTGTTCTGTTTTTACCTATCAAAATATTGACTAAGATGGTATTCTCTAAAAGGATGTATTTGAAACTTATTTTTTAAGCTGATAGTTTAAATAAATTATAGGTACTATATCGTATGGCTGTAATAGAGATCATGAGTTATGGTTTTTGTTCGATTTATGTGGATTGAGTGATACACTTAAGTATAGTTAATGCACTTTCAGAGCTTTATAACTTTAGACATATTAGGCTATCAGAGAGGTAGTAGTAAATTATGTGATCTTATCTGCAAGTTTGTTTTGGGTTGTTCGTTCTGTTTCCAAACAGGGCTCTCATTCGGCCACTTCCAAGCCAGCAAATGTTTGAACATGTGCGGAAGAGACATCGTGTATTTTTTGTTTATATAGGTGGAGAGTCACCTTTGAAGGTATCAAATAATTGTATTTTTAATCCACAAGCTCAGATATATTATTTAATTTTCTCTGTAGCCCAGATTTCACCAAAAACTCAAAACTAACTCTTAATGGAAATAATTACAATAAAATACTTCCGTGTGTACACTCTATAGTTCTTGCCGTCATGAAACCAAAGTGAGTGAAAAAAGTGTGTAGCTATTATTGCTTGCCTCAGTGTTTCTTCTGTCATTGGCCTGGTTATTTAAATTTTGTATTATTTTGTTAGCATTTTTGTGTCTGAGACTGTAAAATGTAGTTTGAATATAAGCCTTTTTTTAAAAAAGATTTATTTACGCATACAAGAACTAAGGTGTAGACCAGAGGTGCGGGTGGGTTGAGAGTGAGAGGATTCACCAGAGACACAGTGGGTAGCAGAACTGGTAGATCTAGTGAAATACACTGCTGAGGGGAGCAGTGGGCAAAGCAGGTGAGGTCTGCTATGCCATATGTGGGTTAGCTCCCTGGCCAGGGATCGAACTCATGCTGCAGTAGCTGGCTATAGCTTGATAGTGCTGAGACTTTAACTCCTGTGCCATCAGGGAGGCCCCCTAAAATTTAAGCTTTTAAAGGAAAAAAGATCATCATCTTAAGATTATTTTATATATGCATGTATGCACTACAATATCTCTTCCTATAATCACCAAATTAAATTAATAAATATGAATTGAGCTTATGCCACATTTAAGGAGCTTTTGTTTGGACAAGTATAAAAATACTTAGTTACAATAGTCCTATGCCTCAGAATCTATCATTATTTCATATGCTTGTATTCTTTTTTCACATAAAGAATTGGAGGCAGCAAATTGGGAGGTGCTACTTCATGATGCTATCTTTGTCTGCATGTTTAATGAGGAGTGGGTTTTCATCTTTAATAAAATTTAATTCAACTTTTTTCTGTTTATATTATCACAGGAGAAATACATAGATGCAGCATCAGAATTAATTGTGTACACGTACTTCTTTTCAGCTTCAGAAGAAGTGGTTCCTGAGGTAATATTTAAAATTGAATTTAACGATGTAATTTCATTTTTTAAAGTATTACCTGCTTTTGTCTGTCAGATTTATTTACTGTGATACATGTAGAAAAAGTAAAAATTGATTTTGTTTTTTTTATTTTTTATTTTTTTAAGTATTTTTAAAAATTTGATTGTTTTTCACATAAAGTTTTTTTTTTTCTTGTAAAGATTTATTTTCATTTATACAAGAACTGGGGTACAGTCCAGATGCGTGGGAGGGTGAGAGGATTCACCAGAGACAGAGTGGGGAACAGAACAGGCAGACTGACGAAATACACTGCTGAGGAGAGCAGCGGGCGAGACAGGAGAGGTCTGCTCGCCATGTGGGTTGCTCCGAGGCCGGCGGGGATTGAACCAGCACAGCAGAGGCTGTGGACAGCTTCAGAGCGCTGCACTCAACCGTCTGCGCCACCTTGGAGGCCCAAGATTTATTTATTTATGCATACAAGCACTCGGGTACAGGCCAGAGGTGTGAGGGGTGAGAGGATTCACCAGAGACAGAGTGGGGAACAGAACAGGTAGATTGACCGAAACATATTGCTGAGGGGGAACAGTGGGTGAAACAGGAGAGGTCTGCTGCACCATGTGGGTAGCTCCTTGGCTGGGGATCGAACTCGTGGTGCAGTGGCTGCGGGTAGCTTCATAGGTTGCGTCTTAACATCTTGCGCCACCAGGGAGGCCCGTAAACATTGATTCTTTACTGCTGGTATCACACTGCTTGTTATTAATCTATTATACGGTCTGTTGTAGCAATGGCTTGATAGCATTTAGGAAATACGATGATTACATTTGAGCTTTTTTCCTCTTTTAAATAATAGCAGTCATGACAAGTAGTACCTGAAACCTTTAAATCAGTTTGGAAGTATTAGCTTTTTATATACATAATATATAAATTATATGTTGCATATTATGTATGTTTTTTGTTCACCAAGTCTGTTGTCTTGGAGCCCTGTGCGTGTTCCAAGTCCTGGGTAATTTGTCCCCAGCAGAGGCATCACGGGTACCAGCAGCATGGAGCTTACATTCTCCTGGGCAGATGGATTAATTTTAGGTTTGGTTGATGTCTTCTCTTGGATCCTCTGATCGAGGGAGCAGTCCTCAGTAAACAGATCTATAAACAGGCTATGATAACTGCTATGAATCAAATATGATTAGGAGCAGTATGATAGAAGGGACATTTAGAGGTAGGGTCCTGGCTGTAGATTGACCTAGAATTGTCTGTCTGAGAAGAAAATATTTAAAACTGAGGCTTCCATGATGTGAAAGAGCCACACAAAGATCTGTGGCCAGAGGCTCCCAGAAGTAGGAGCAGGCACTTGAGGAACTGATGTGGCTGGAGGAAGGAGGTGGGAGGGCGGAGAGCCGTGAGACCTCGGTTGCATTTGCATGGGAGGGAGACATGAGTGAAGGGCTCCGGCTCATGTTCATTTTATTATTTTTTTATGGATTATTTTATTTTATATAATTCTTACGTCATTTTTCATTTTTGCATAATGTATGCATTTTCATTTTGGTTCATGTTCATTTTAAACACCCTTATCTTCACAGCTTTCTGAGAAGTCTCATGAGCGGGGCATTAGAGGGCTTGCTATTTTCTGGGACCTGACATAATCTGACACCATCATAGTTCTCACATAGCAATAAGTTGTCTAAGGAAAATCCCCCGGAATCTAGAACATTGGTGGGTTCAGACGGGATTTGCTGGAGACGTGGCCTGTGTGTGATTATTACTTGCTTTTAGTACTGTTGTTGTTATTGGTCTTCTTCACTGCTTTCTTTACACAGTCTTTATTTTTTTTAAAAGATTTATTTATTTATGCATACAAGAACTGGGGTACAGGCCAGAGATGTGGGGGTGAGAGGATTCACCAGAGACAGAGTGGGGAACAGAATAGGCAGATTGACTGAAATACACTGCCGGCCGGGGATCAAACTCGTGCTACGGAGGCTGCGGATTGCCCCATAGTGCGGTGCTTAACCTCCTGCGCCACCAGGGAGGCCCTTTACACAGTCTTTAATTATTCTTGCAAGTATTTGTCATCTCTTTTATTTCTGAGTATATTGGGTTGTCGGAAACGTCATGACATTTTTCCCTGTGTTTTCTATGCAAACATGTCATGACTTTTCTGACACCCTGATAGTTGTAAAAGTCCGCTAAGGGAAATAATAGTTATTTTAGAACTTCTACTTCCACTGACAATTCTCATATAAGGGTGAAGCCCATGATTTTATGTTTTTCCCATATTTTGAATCTTAATGGTTGCTTATGGAAAGTTGCTTTGATTTACAAATAGTATTTGTGAATTCCCAGGTAGATATAATAAGGAGCTATAAAGATGAATTAAGACAGTTTGTGACTTCCCAATACTTAAAGCTCATTGGAGAAGATGGAGCTGTAGACAAATAACTGACACTACATAATGAGTTTAAAGCAGTACAGGGAAAGAAGGGGCAGATTCGTTGTGTCACCATTTTGCCCAGCTATAAATATCCTTGTGAGAGAGAGGTGCTGAATGTTAAAAAATATTTGCCAGCATCGTTGATGCGCTGCCCAGAGCAGGTGGATGGATGCCTGCTGATGCAGGGCCACCCTCAGAGTCGGTGTCTCCCTGGTGCTGTGCCATCATGTGGGCGTAATGCACTTAGGTCATGTTGTATTGCCTGATATGTGACGTCTTCCACCCTTTTCATCTCTCCAGGACAGCTGTCTGTCTTCTTTTTATTTTAGTGTTACTTTTGTTTTCTGCTGATTTATTTGCCATTCACTTTTACCACTTGTGTGACAGTTCTGTGTGGCACACCCCATCATATCTCCTGCTCTGATGCCGATATCTGTATTGAAATTCACTGTTGGAGCACCGGGCACCTTCTGGGTGAACCTTTTATTACTAATTCCCACTTAAGTTCCCATTTATGTAGGAGCTACAGTTGACACCTGCTGTGACTTATATCAGCTAACTGACTCCTGACTCCTCACGGTGGGTGCTCACTGCCCTGCTTTACCGAGTGAGGGGAAAACCAGAGACCTGGTGCACAGCCTGGGTGGTGGGGAGGCTGGAACCCCCCATGCCGACGACAGCCTGACCCCTGCTCTTCGGCCACGTCACAGTGCCTCCCTTCCAGAGTGGACTTCCTGGAGATCTTTAGGTCTATTAACAACTCTAAGACTATTCCATGGCTTTCCCCGTAGCAAACAGAACACTGCCTGGAGAGGTAGAGAGAGATGCCAGACCCAGTCCTTGCATGAGCTTCGATTGACCCTGCGTTGGTTTTTTTTTTCCCCTTTAATTTTTTTTCATTTATCCAGTTCTGTTTTCTGGTGTCTTTCAATATTTTTGAAATCAATTGAAATTGTTTTTAATGATAATAAGGATACTTCTGATTTTTACAGTATGTCACCTTGAAAGAAATGCCTGCTGTGCTTGTTTTCAAAGACGAAACCTACTTTGTTTATGATGGTAAGTTTCAAAGTTTTAAAATATGTAAAACATAAATTTAAATGTCATGTCCATTATAGCACTTAGGTAATGATAAAAGGATTTTTTCTTTAAGATTTTTTTTTTTTTAAAGATTTATTCCTTTACACAAGAACCAGGGTACAGGCCAGATGCATGGGAGGGTGGGAGGATTCACCAAAGACAGAGCGGGGAACAGAACAGGCAGACTGCTGAGGGGAACAGCGGGCATGACAGGAGAGGTCTGCTGTGCCATGTGAGACCCTTGCCGGCCGGCAAGGGTCTCACATAGTGCAGTAGAGACTGCTGACAGCTTCACAGCGTGGTGCTCAACCGCCTGTGCCACCAGGGGAGGCCCTTTAAAGATTTATTTATTTATGCATACAAGAACTGGGGTGCAGGCCACCAGGGAGACCCTTTACACAGTCTTTATTCTTGCAATTATTTGCCATCTCTTTTTTATTTCTGAGTATATTGGGTTTTTGGAAACGTCATGACATTTTTTCCTTTGTTTTCTATGCAAACATGTCATGTAGGTGTAGAGGGGATGAGAGGATTCATCAAAGACAGAGTGGGGAACAGAACTGGCGGATTGACTAAAATACACTGCTGAGGGGAATAGCGGGCGAGTTAGGAGAGGTCTGCTGTGCCATGTGGGTAGCTCCCTAGCCGGGGATAGAACTCGTGCTGCAGTGGCTGCGCACAGCCTCATAGGTTGCATCTTAACCTCTTGCACCACCAGGGGGGCCCTGGTATTGATAAAAGATTTAGTAAATACCATCACTGCTTACGGTTCCGTGGGTTGAATAAGTGAGGGTTTTTTCTTACCTGTCAACTTTAGTTTTTATTTTTTGACAAGTTAGTTGTCTCTCCAGTAGATGAACCCTATCAATTTCTATGTGTTACTTTAAAATATTCAGAATTAATGTTTTAAAAAGGTATCTAGCATTTCTAACAAAAAAAAAGGTGAAGACATAAAACATCATCAGTAGTGTTGCAGTCCCCGGTGTTGTCTCTCCCTAGTTCCATCTCTCACCCTGACAGAGGTAACCACTGACCTGTTAACCAGCTTTCCTTCACGGAAGCAAGAAACTGGGTTATTTTTTTAAATATTTTTATCATAGCAGACATCATAGTCAGGAGAATGGTAAAATAAGACGCATATACGCCTGCCACCAGGTGAGACAGTCACCAAGCTTGTCCCACATTTGCTTCTCCCCTTTTCCTTTGAATTTTTTATAGCAAATCCTGGTGACATTTGTCTCTGCTTCATTATGTATCGCTTTATACATGGGGATTTTTTTTTTTTTTTTAAGGTGACCATGTGCTGTATAACATGTAAAAATGTAATAAAACTTCCTTGGCATGATCAGGCACCTATTCCATGGTCCCTGCGCCGTGCTCAGGTGCCCAGGCAGTGCAGGGAGTCCCGCTGGGCCACGGCAGTCTTGGTGGCCTCCTAAGTGATAATGTAATAAAAATAAAAATTCACTTTCTCATTCTCACTAAGCACATTGGAAATGCTCAGTTGCCTTGTGAGGCTTTTGTCTTCCGTGTTGGAGAGCATAGTTGTAATGCATTGTATTTGCTGCAGCAACATTCTGCAGTGTGGTTGTTGTTATATAACAAAAGAAACTAGAACTACTCGAACAGTAAGTTTTGTATTGCTTAAATAATTCAGATAAATAGAAGAATATCTCATACAAGGAACATTTTGACTCTGTTCTGTAAAAGGAGAATTTTATTTTGACAGCTTGTGAAGAAAAGCATTTTCAGAATTTTCTGTCGTTATCTTTGAATGTGAGGATTGAATTTTATTTCTAACTGGTGTGATTACCATTTACTTGTTATGTTTTATACAAGTTACTGCCTCTTACTTGATAATTTTCATTTTATCTTTGAGGTAGATAGTGAGGCAGGTTAATATCCTGATTATGAAGGAGATAACAGAGGGTGCTAGAAAAGGGATAGCTATATACTTAATTCGCAGATTCATTTGCGTGCTCATTCATTCTCTGGATATTGAATGTCTGTATTAGACATTGGACGTAAAAGGGAAATAAGAGGAACTTGCATATATGAAAACAGGAAGAGGAAAATAATCCTCTTAGATATCTACGTCATCCACCTGCTCTTTGTTACAGCGTGCCTGTTGTCTTGTCTGGTCGTCACATTAGTTCTGTGAGGTCAGTCTTCCAGCTGTTTTACAGTAAAAGAAGCAGGATTAGAAAGATTTGTTTTACTTTATTTTAAAATAATCAATGATGTAATCACAATTGAACCTTCAGAGCTCTTGTTCAAGTTTTGTTGTGAGTTTCTTCACAACTCAGAGAGCTGCTTGTTTTTTTGTGGGAAAAACCTGATCACATTTGCACAGACTTGTCTGCATTCTCCGCGCAGCTGTTGCAGCACTGTCTCTCTGTCTGCAGCGTGGCCTCCCAGTGGAGGAGCCAGAGCAGGAATGTGTCACCTTCCACGTACAGCTCTTGCCAAGGCCACTGTTTCTCATATGCTCTTGAAGCATTTGGAACCTGCTTGAAGGCCTCCTCTAGATTAAAAAAAGCAGGGTTACCTTGGGTGCTTGCTCTGATCCTTGTAATTAGGAAGTTTAGAAGCACTGGCGTGGTGGCATGGGGTAGTTTCTTTTTCCAGTGATTTGATGAATCCAGAAAGTTTTCTTTTTACCTGATGTGGAACGTGTGGCTCAGTGATTAGCTTCTAGTTTTATATTTGTTTTTCTAATTTGTAAATCCAAATCCATAAATATTTTCAGGTTTGCATTATTCTACTTACTTTATGCATTTGATAACTTGAAAATGTTTTGTTTAGCAATGCAAGTGACAAAAAAGCAAATCTTTCAAAAAATCAGTAAAATCCAGTCTTCAAGTAGGCATGTTGGTAGACTTTTAACATCAGCTTCTTTTTTCTGCAGTTGCAGTAATTTTTCAGAGTACTTCAGTTAGATTTCTTACAGGAAATAGTAGTTTCCTTGAGTATTATAAACATTTTTATTTGCTTTAGAGGGAAGCATTTGACGTAGGAAAGGCTAAAGCACTATACTTTATGTGTGTGTTTGTGTTGGTTCTACAGGAGAAAGGGTTGTAAACCGAGGTAGAAATGCCATAAAATAGAGAAGAGGAAAGAAATTATAATAAAAATCTACCCATCGGGGCATCATCTGTGGATAACCGTCAATCTAGGATGCCATTTTGTAGGAGTGGGCCCCTTCATTTAATCTTTCTGCCAGTTAATCTTTTCATACTTTGTTTTTTACAAAGTTAGTGAGACTATAATGTTTTTGTAACTTTACAAATTAATTATTATAATTTTTTAAATCTATAAGTGATCTTCCTTGGCATGTACTCTATGTAAATTATTTCCTGCATAGACCATTTCAATTATTTATCTTTTGCTATTTTTAATTGTGCCATGTGAGGAAGAATTGCTTTGTGCATTAATTCTCCTAGACATTCTGATAGCTTAGAAAAGATCCCTAAAAAGGAAACTTAGGAATTGAAGATTATGGTTCTACGTCAGACATTTTATGCATACTGCTAGATTAGAATGTTTAAGACTTTTTAAAGTGATTTATATATGATATTGATTTTGTTTTGTCTTTAAGAGTACGAAGATGGTGATCTGTCTTCTTGGATCAACAGGGAGAGATTTCAGAATTACCTTGCTATGGATGGATTCCTGTTGTATGAACTTGGAGACACTGGTAACAAACATACATTCAACTTTCTGTCAGTCTGTAGTTGCATATGTCATTCTGATTCTGTAGGAAAAGAATTTTAAGCTCTATTTCATAATTTCATTACTTCCTTTAGATCTGATTTCCAGTTCTGCTTTATGAGACTAGATTAATACTGCCAACGAATACCTTTGTAGATGGGTTGAAAATTAGCTAGAGAGAATTTATTTACTAATAGGACTGGAAAATAAGGAAATTAGAAAAAATAATCAAGAAGCTATCGTTAGGAGACTCATTCTGTAGTTGGAATATCACTAATAGTAACCTGTAGTCCTGCTTTTACTTGTGGGGAGGAAGGGGGTTCAGATTAGCTTGGTTTCTTAAAGTGACGTGATTGAAAATGACAGCAAAGCAAATACAAATAAATATAACCTGTGACAAGCTGGCCGCGTCCTGATGCCTGTTTTTTTGTGTTCTTCTTTCGGATGTTTGTTCTGATGCTGCAACTGGTTTTTAATGGTCTGGGCGTGATATTTGTGTCTCTGCTGACCCTTCAGAGGGAGGTGTGCCTGCTCAGAATTGGAAGTCGATGTAGATGTAGACAGATTGTAGGTTTTTTTTTCTGATTATTTCAGGCCCCCTTGAAGAGAAAAGGCGGAAATGTAGAAAAAGATAGTTTTGCTTTCAGTACACTAACCACAGGAGACAGGCGTGACCTTGAGACAGTCGAAACAGTCAGCTTCGGCCCTGCATGAGCCGCTTCCTTCCCAGGCTGCCCTGAGCAGAAGTTTGTGGTGCTGCTTATGCCTGACAGGCGGCTGAGGGCAGAGGGGCCTGTGCCCGATCGGCGCCCCACCTGGGCATTCACCATACAGATGCCACCACGGCCTCGCTCGCCCTCGCGCTCCCAGCCTCCCCCCACCCTGGCCACTGTGGGGCTGTGTGCTCTGCCTGCTGCTGGGTCTCCAGCCCCTCTCACTCCCGCTCTCTCCAGCCTGCTGCCTTTTCGGTTTCTTCAAAGGTCCGTGTACCTTGCACCAAAGCATCTTTTTGCAATCTGTTTTCTTTGCCGGAGTTTGTATAGTTAATTTATATTCATCCATCAAACTCAGAACAAACACTGCTTCCTTGGGGAAATCATGACTGACGGACACCCTCAAACCTCATTCGTTTGCTCTGAATCCTCGTTCATTCTGTGTGGTTATTTCCCTGGTCCCAGCCACGCTAACTTCTGAACAAAGCTGGGGCTGCACGCTCTTCCCTGGCCTTGGGATCTGGCCACCTCAGACATTGTTGGGGGCTCAGTAAGGGAGAAGTGAATTACACCGGAAACTGTCCGTTTTGGGCTGTGGGTAGATGCTCTGCATGTAGGGATTTCAAAAGCTCAGGAAGTTCTCAAAAATTAAAGAAGCCAAATATAGCACAGTAAATGAAAGAATATCCAAGAGGAGAAAGCATCGTGAGCTGGTGTTTTCAGGCGAGGTTTTTAAAAGCAGTTAAAAGTAAGTTGAAAGCTGTGTTTGAGCAGTGTAGAGTTAGGGGAGAAGCACCAAGGTGTGGGGGTGATATGTAAAGGTGGTTGGCTGCTTTAACCCTGTGTTTATATACCCTTGTGAGTCGGAAAGTGTCCTGATAATTTTTGTGTCTGTAATCTCGTTGCACTCCCAACAACTTTGAAATAGATAGTAGTTTCCTAGAATAAGCTGAGTCACATAGCTGGCAGGTGTGCCCCCCTCTCCACCCCAGAAAGTGTGGGCGCTGCTGGGTGGCAGGTTGCTGCTGTGACCCCGGCGCCAGGGCCCTGGTTGTGAGGTCTGCTGCCTTCCTGAGGACATGGAGCTGAATAGGGTTTATGCTTAGGGTTAAGTGGATGAACATTGTTATGTGTATTATAACTGGTGGGTAGTGACTTGTGGTACCAAAGAGAATAAAGAACAACAATGTAAAAAGTTTTTTTAACACTATATATTATTCTCTTAGATCTACAGTAATTACTAGTGAATTTATTTTATTGACATTTTTCCTTACGGTTTTAGCTTTTGGCAGAATACTTAGCTTGTATGAAAACAGTACAATTTGAGCATATTGTTAAATATTTGCTATTTATATTTTGGAGACAGGTGGAGGAAAGAAACATTTGATATCAACTATTTGAGTAACACTCTTCTTAGTGTAAGATAATTTCAGTTAAATCTAGAAACATTATTTACCAATTTGCTGTTCACAATTGAAGTAATAATTGAAAAGTTTGTGTGGGAGTGTTATTGAACTAGATGTCTGTCTTAATTTCAGGAAAGCTTGTGGCTATTGCAGTTATTGATGAGAAAAATACATCAGCTGAACATACCAGGTATAGTGAGTGTCTTAAAATAAGCTTCAAGTGTCATCCTTTTCAGACTTTACATGACTTCAGTTAATATAGTATCCATCTTTTCCTGCAGTATTAGGCAGGCAACAGATACTGTAATTGAATCATGTTTTTCAAGTGAAGAGATGAAACATACATCTGTCTGTTCTTCTACAGATTAAAGTCAATTATTAAGGAAGTTGCTAGCAATTACAGAGACCAGTTCCACAGGTAGGTGCTTACATTCCAGAAGATCCCTATGTCTCAATAATATGTTATCATTTAGGAAAGCAAAAGAGGTGGAACTCCACACCTGCAGAGGGGAATTAAGGTGCTGATGTGAACCATATAATGTTGCATTCCAATATGAGTTGTCAGGACTTGAAACTTGTTGATGTATTTCCTATAAGTAAAAAGAAAAAAAGAACAGGTTTATATATGATGAGAATGTGCTTCTTGATAGAATATGGAATACATTTGTGCTAATAAGGCACATGGGCATTTGAGATTAAATGAACAGCCATAGTCAAGTAGAGACAGATGACAATTTTGACAGAACTGAACAAATAATGGAATATAAAAAGTGACATTTCTGCTGTGTCTTAAATCATTCTGTTTGTTGCTACCATAATTAGAAATTTGTTTTATTCATTCACATATTTTTGGTGCTTCTAATGATGCATCAGTATATTTCTCCTGTTACATAGTAAATAACATCTTCTGATCTGTTGTTTTTTGTTTTTTGTTTTTTTTTTTCAGAGTAAAAGGTTAATTTTTCTTAAATGTATTTCAGTTAGAAACACTTATATTGCCCTACATTTTAAACATATATAAACAAAGTAGAAATGTCTTAGAATTTATTACTGCTTATGTGTTTGTATCTCAGAACCAGGGGAATTCATATCTCATCTACATTTATTATAGGTGATTTAGATTTTTTTAAGATTTATTTATGCATAGAAGAACTGGGGTATAGACCATAAGTGTGGGGGTGGGATGGGTGAGGATTCACCAGAGAGTGGGGAGCAGAACAGGCAGATCTGAAATATACTGCTGAGGGGAGCAGTGGGTGAGACAGGAGAGGTCTGCTGCCCCATGTGGGCTAGATCCCTGCCCAGCCTGGGATCGAACTCGTGCATCAGTGGCTGGCGATAACTTGATAGCACAGTCTTTAACCCCTGCGCCACCTGGGAGGCCCTAGATGTTACATTTTTATAGTGTTTATATGCTTACTAAGCCTAAAGTTCAGTTCTTTGTTTATGCTGTTATTTACATTTGTTCTATTTAATATTGATCTCTGTTATTTTGGTTTTGTGTTTCTGGTTGTTTTTGTTGGCTAAGGGATCTTCAGTTTGGCCATATGGATGGAAATGACTATATCAATACCTTGCTGATGGAGTAAGTAAAGTGCTAAATGATTGAATGATTTGTTACCAGTTCTACCAGGGTTTAGATTTCTTTTTCTGAGAGACGCAACCAGTAGTTAAAAGCAACATACCTTTGGTATATTCTGATGCAGAAATTTTCCCATTAAATATTTCACTTTGGCTTTTAAGTCTACATTTGAAACACTGAGTTTTAATATTTTTGTAATAAAAAGATTAATTCCTGTTTCAGTAGTAATTTATGGTATTTTGTGAAGACTTTCAGAAACTTGCAAATTTTGTAATTTTTGTTTAGTATATAAAGTTCTGTTTTAATAAGTTGATGTAAATTAAATAGAAAATTTTTAGCATTCAGAATTCTAGAGCATTTATTTTAACAAATTAAAATAACTAGGAAAACAAATAATTTTGAAGTAATTTCATCAATGTGTTTATGATCTAAAGATCTGATTTATTTCTGAAAATAAAATATTTATCATACCTATACTGAATTAATAAATTTTTTAAAAGATTCATTTATTTATTTATACAAGAACCGGGGTACAGGCCAGATGTGCAGGAGGGTGAGAGGATTCACCAGAGACAGAGTAGGCAACAGAACAGGCAGACTGACGAAACACACTGCTGAGGGGAGCAGCGGGCGAGACAGGAGAGGTCCGCAGCACCATGTGGGACCCTCGCCAACAGGCCAGGTTTGAACTGGCGCTGCAGAGGCTGCGGACAGCTTCACAGCGCGACGCTCAACCACTTGCGCCACCAGGGGAGGCCTGAATTAATAAATTTGAAGCAAGAACTTTATTCAACAGAAAAATAGCAAGTGTTATATCATACGTTGTGTTTGGTACTGTTGATTCAAAGAGAATGAGTGAACTGGAGTCCTGTCTTTAAATGCTGTGGTCCTCCGGTGAGATAGCAAACAGTAAGACAGCCTGGAGAAGTTCCGAGAGAGCCTGGGCCATGGACAGTCCCCCTGACCCTACTGTGAAAACACTGGCCACAGGAGGCTGTGATGAAGGCAGCTGGAGAAAGAGTGCAGAGACAGCATTTCAGACAGAGCATAATAGCAAACACAATAGGTGGTTGGAAAATTGGTTTTGAAGAACAGTAGAGGTTTAAAGTAACCCCTGACGTGATGGCAGGGAACACTTACCAGAAGCAGTTGGTCTTGGCCAGCACACCGAGGGCTCAAGTACGGCGAGCACCATTGTGCAGTGTGCTGGCTCTCTGGAGTTCAGCCCAGGGCATCTGTGTGGAAAAGGCTTCATTCATTGTTATAGTGTGTTAAAGGGGAAACAACCTCACTTGCTAATCAGACTACCCTCCATAATTTTTGAAAATACTACATTGCCATTACTCATTTGTATCCACTTATATTACCCCTTTTATTCCAAAAAGAATTTAGTAGGGTTCACCAAAGATGTGAAGTACCAGATATATAATGAAAAAATTAAGACAAAGGAAAATAAAGACTATATATAGTTGTTATTGGTAGTAGAAAAACTTGACCCTGAATTTTTAATACTGGAAACAAAGTATAAAATTGTTATTTGTATATTTCCTATTGCCTATAAAATAGATTTGCTTAATAGGAGGAGTATGATTGACTTTGTAGAAACCTAAGAGAGTGTGCTGTGCTTTGTGGTGACAAAGAGGGATATCCTCTATAATAGAAATGCATTGTTAATAGAATTTTTACAGCATGAATAGTGGGGACTCTGTACAGACCCTCATGTCCCTCCAAGGTGTGTCAATCTAATGATACAGTGAAGCAATGTTTGCAAGACGTCAAAGCAGTTTATGTCGAATAGACAACTCCTTGATTCAGAATTAGAGATGGAAGAACATCCTTCTGGATTGTTACCTCCAACATGAGTTATTGTATAGTAGAAATGTTGATCTATAATTATCATCAGAGAACACAGTTTAATTGTGACTCTTAAGTTTGAAGGATTTTTTTTTTTCTTTCTGTTTATGATCCAGGAGATGATCTTTCTTGGTGATTATTCCAGGTGTGTTTGAAAAATAGTATTTTGCTATTGTTGGGTAGAGTGGCCTATGTAAGACAATTAGATCCTGTTGGTTGATATATTTAGGCTATTATGATTAAGACAGATAATGACTGTCTGCTGATGATCAGAGCTCAAGCCTTATGTTTTTGTTTGTTTCCTCTGCTTTTTCCTTATTCTCTTTCCTTGCCTTCCTATGGATTACTTGAAATTTTTTTATGATTTCATCTTGACTTATTTATAGGGTTTGTCAGTACATTGCGTTATTTCCTCAGTGGTTGCTATTAGGTATAAAAATTTACACACATAACTTATCATAGTCTATGGCACTGACTTGTGTGTCCCTTTACCTCCTTATTTCATAAATAACATCTTGAGAATTTCACTACATACGTTGAGGAAGACCAAATCACGTGCAGATCATATTTTGTTTCAACTAATAAATACGATTTTTAAAATTGTAGAAGAAAAAGTCTGTTGTATTTACACTCATTTTTGCTCTTTTTACTTTTCTTCCTGGTCTTTCAAGAATTTTTTTTTGTATTTTCTTTGTGTTTGAACTTTCTCGCTATTCTCTCAGGGTTGGTCTGCTCACAACTTCTCCTCTTAGCTTTTCTTGGCTGAGAATGCCTGTCCTTTTCTCATTCACGGGCTACAGAATTTGTGGTTGCCAGTTCTTTTCCTTCCTACTTCTTGGTTTCAGATGAGACAGTCACTGTCCTGCAGAGAAATGTGGCGTTGCTCTCTGGTTGCTGTAATTTTTTTTCAATGTTTTGAAATTTATGACATGTATAGGTGCACTACATGACATGGACAGCACAGTGTTTTGAAATTTATGACTTTTTTGTGTTTATCCTATTTGAAATTCATCTTCTTTAATCAGTAGGTTTATATCTTTATCCAAATCTGGTATATTTTGCTGTTCAGTTCTTTGCATCATCTTGTAGATTATACAGATGTCCTGCAGATAGCACTATATTTTGGTTTGAAAAGCAGGCCCTGGACTACTTTTGTGGGCTGTGGTTCTAGTGGCAATTTAAATTTTTTAGTCTTTGCTGAATGGCGTGATCTGCTGCTGTCTCTTATACACATCTTCCTGCCAGTGCTGCCTGCATAGCCGCTGGCTCTTTAGAGCTGCATCGCCAGTGTTGGGGGTTGGGGGATGCCCAGCCTGTAAGGACCAAGAGCGCTTCTCCTGGCTACTGGGTGTCAGCAGGGCCCCCACTCCAGTCCCCTTGCCTGTGCTGTTTTTTCCCAGCAGGACCCTCTCCAGTTCAGAGGAAGACTGTAGCTAGCTGAGGTGTCTTTGCCACCCTTGTGGTCTGGGAGATAACCCTGTTGGGTGGAGGATTGCAAGATGCCTGGCCATTGTTTCCTTTCCGCCCTAAGATCCCTTTCTTCACCCTGTGATCCCCATTTTGATTGTTTCTTGCTGTATTTTCCACATGAGATTTAGTGGGGAGAAGCAAGGACACCTTAGTCCCTACCATCTTGTCTGGTCCAGAAGCCTGGTACTTATTGGAAAAATGTTAGCGAATCTAAATCATTTTTTCTAAATAATCAGTGTCTCGACATGAAATATTGAATTGGTCATTTCCCAGCTTTATTTGCTATCTGTGGATACACCGTTAATGTTCCTTATCGTCAGTTAAAACAACCTACGTGTGGTTTGACTAATATTGTAAATCCAGATATGAAATGATTCAGTTTTGTTCCATTAGACAAAAATTGCTGAGTTATTTCTCTAAGACCTCTAGCCAGCAGTAATATTTTTAGAATATTTCAGTTGCCTGCCATGGGGCAGCTTAAAATCTGCATTTTTCAGAACTCATGATTTTAGACTACTAATATTTGGAAGATAATATATTTATTAGCCAATAAGGAGCTATATTTATAGGGGGATAAACACTGAAGAACTAGGGAATTTGAGAATTCTGATGCGTCCATGCCGTAGGCACTGATTGTCTGACAAGTTTGACAGGAAGTCGTAGAGTCTTGGTTTTCATGCAGTGGACAGAATGGCTCCCCAGTTTCCATGCAGTGGACAGAATGGCTCCGCAAGAATGCCCATACCCCAGTTCTCAGAATTTGTCAGTAATTCAGAGCAAAGACACTTTATAGATTAAGTAATTAAGTTCATGGACCTTAAAATAGGAGATTATCCCGCATTATAAGTGGGGAGCCCAGTCTAATCCCCTATCACACAAAAGTAAACTCCCTGGCGGATGCAGCAGAGAGAGCTGGAGCACGGGATGGACTCCTTGTTGTTGGCTTTCAGCATGAAGGGGCCACGAGCCCAGGGAGTGTGGTGACCTCTCGAAACGAGTAACTCGCAGCCATTAGCCAACAGGAAACAGGGGCCTTCATTCTAGTCACATGCACTTAAAATTCTACCAAATTTCCACCTCCGCAGATAGAGCCAGCAGAGCCTGCTAGCCTTCTGACCCAGAACTCAGAGACAGTGACTGCTGAGTCGCTGACTGCTGCTGATTATAGCAGCAACAGAAAGCGGTTATGTATATTAAGTATATTTTATCTTTGGCTATTTTTTCTCCTGAAGGATGGACCTTTTTTTAAAGATTTATTTTATTTATTTATGCATACTAGAGCTGGGGTGCAGGCCAGAGGTGTGTAGTAACTATTAGGAAGCATGGGAGGAAGGAGATGAGAGAGGAGCCTAGCACCGGCCTCTTTCTGTTAGTAGATACAGTTTGCGTCCTTGAGAGAGGAGGTGTACCACCGTGGTGACATGATGTTAATCCAAGTCCTTGTTGTGGACTTAGCCCATGGCAGACAGTGGACTAAGAGGTCACTGCATACTTTCTAATTTTAATTATAACTGAGGTGTAACTATTATTGTATAGATGAGGAAATTAAAATGTCTTAAAGAAACTCAAGAAAGTTAAAAAATATGCCCAAAATGACTCAATAAGAATCAAGGTCCATTCGGCAATTGAAAAGGATTAGAAGTTGAAGTGATCCAGTCTTCAATCCAGATCTCCATTATTCCAAGTATTCTGATGTAGCGTAACAGTGATATTAACGGATAAATTAGAGGAATTTAATAGGTATCGATGCCCAAATGTTTCTAACTTACAGGAAATATGTGATGTTCTTACACGATCATTGCACTGCAACATCGACTATGTTTGTTTTTTCTTAAATATTATCAGACCTTTAGATTATGATTTTTTTTTTAAAGATTTATTTATTTATATAAGCACTGGGTACAGTCAGAAGAGTGGGAGGGTGAGAGAATTCACCAGAGCAGGGAGCAGAACAGGCAGAAGGACTGAAGTACACTGCTGAGGGGAGCAGCGGGTGGTAGGAGAGGTCTGCGTGCCATGTGGGACCCTCACCCGGTGGCCGGGGATTGAACCGGCGCTGCAGAGGCTGCGGGCAGCTTCGCAACCCAGCCCTCAACTGGGGCACCACCGGGGAGGCCCTAGATTATGAAATTTTATAGTGGATTTTGTGAATATATATTTAGGGAGGCTATAATATGGTAATATGTTATTTTCTTTCATTATTCAAATTGAATTATTTTAAAACAAATAGTTGTTTTCTAGTTCAGTCGTGTATTTTACTTTTTCCTAAGATGCACTGCTGTGGAAACCCCAGGTTCTAATCCATCCCGTGAAAGGAGAAATAAATATTTTTGTTAATCGTGCATTATAACTAATAAATTGCTCTAGATCAAAAAATTGCATCATCTGTTTTTGTGAAAAAAGTAAAACAAAGACTTTTTCTTACTACACAGTCCGTAGACATTGCCTAATAGTGATACTGGATAATAAAGCGCCCCGGTGCCCAGTCCGTCAGTCAGGAAGGCTCTCTCCTCCACCACCCGCCCGGGGCCTGACTGCGCTCAGCTGGGCACCGCCAGTTAAGGTCAGGTCTGCTGCATGTGGCTTTCCTGTCCTCGACCCTGGAGAGGTGTTCAAGTCTGCGTCGTCAGCTCAGCCTGAACTCGCGGAGCTCGGCATCCCTACTGAGGAGCGTGTTGCTTGCCTGGGAGGAGGGCGTGGTCCACAGAGGGGGAGTCAGGGCAGTAAAACCTCTCCTGGATGCGGACGTGCTCCTGAGAGCAGCGTGAAGTGCTGACACTTCGGGTGTCCTGCCTGTGCATGTTTTCATACAGGCATGACTCGCCGTGAAAGTGAGGCGTAAAAGTGAGGCATGTATGACATGGGATTAAGCCGCCTTCCCTCATTCTGCAAAAACCTCTCCTTGAAAGGAAAAAAAAGGACAATGGAATGACACGTACTGTAGACGTCCAGTTGATTAGTGAAGCAAGTCTTGGTACTGGGGTGGAATAGACAGTGGTGAGTGGGAGGTGAGAGAATTTGCAGTTGTGGTTATAAACCATGTATTATGTACAAGTACCGTCCTGAATATTTAACTTGATTTTCCTCATTTAATTTTTATGACAAGTTAGTTTCCTTTGAAGCTCCTTATTCCCCTTCACTTTTTATTCATCTGTGAGTGAAAAGCATTAGACCTTAAAACTAAATTATGGAAAAGCCCCAGATTTGAACACAGTGTCAGGCCAGAGGCCAGGCTCTTCCCTGAATTACTTGGGTGTCTTTTAACTGAGGTACTGAGGTGGGTCGTACAGGATTCATAGTGAGGGCGTGCAGAAGGAACTGGTGGCAAGGAGTACTGCCTGGAAATTGGTGCTTCATACATCATGACCTTTATCCTCAAGTGTAATCATGATTATTCATTGATAAGTTTTATTAGGTATTTTAATCATCTTAATTTAGCTAATTTGGGAATTGATATAAATTATGAAATTCTCCATGAGGCAAAAGGGGAGCAAAGGCTATTAACATCGCTGTCTTCTTTTGTAATTATAATTACTGAGATCAGAATAGATATCAGAATATTTGTGTATCTGCGTGTTTCATGTATCTCTTCTGTCCTTTTCACTTTTCAGTGAGTTGACGATTCCAACAGTCGTCGTCCTGAACACGTCCAACCAGCAGTACTTCGTGCTGGACAGACAGCTCAGGAACGCCGAAGATATGGTCCAGTTCATTAACAGCGTCCTGGATGGCACAGTAGAGGTAAGTGGCTCTGCTCGGACAGGAAGAGTGAAGAGTGGCCGTCCCCGGTGAGGGCAGGTGAAGGCTGGCCTCCGTCCCCGGCTTCTCCTGATGAGAGACGGTCACATTCTAGACACAGGCGGTTCTTCAGCACCAGAGGCTGCTAATGGCTGGAATTGTCCTGCTAAGGGTTCCTTGGAGGACTCTTGGGTGTCACCGTGGTTGGAGGTGCCCCTGGCCCTTGGAGCCAGGGGCCCGGAGAGTGTGAGGTAGGGGTGTGCGGTCTCCCAGCAGCGTCCCCTCTGGGTCCCGGCGCCCCTCAGGTTCAGGAGTACAACTTGCAGAGGACATTCCTCTGGGTTTTATAAGAAAACCTGCAAATAGGGCCATGTTCTAAAGAGAGAAGGAAACATGTTGAGAATCAGAGCCCCAGTGGAACCAAATGTAATCCTGTAAAAGATTTCTCAGGAAGAATGACTAGGCAGTCTTCACTGTCTGTCTTTCTCTAGACTCACTTGCAGTGGTTTTCAGACTGGGGGCTGCAGCCCTTTTTAAAGGATCCTGAAACCACCAGCTCGTGAGCAGCCAGCATCTGTGACTCAACAGATGAGAAATAACAGCACAGAGAATGAGACGTCATTGCTTTCCTGAAGTTTTAAGTATTTTGTGGGACTTGTTTCGGCTTGACACAAACTTTATTTGAAACTTGTCAAGCAAATTAGCAAGTTTCTCCTTGGAAACACTCTTAACCACTTTGTAGGGATTTGTGAGTGGATGAAACGCATCTCAAGCTGATTCAGAGAGTTGGGACAGGCGTATAGAGCTCGGAAAGACAGGACAGGGGCCAGACTTCAGGACTGGCTGATGCGGAACTTGATTGATTTTCACCTTTGATGAAAGGACTTTGTCTCCTTTCTGCACTTTCTTCTTTCTGAGCTCAACACGCTGACAGCCGCGGGGGTCCTACGGCGGTGGCCCCTTGACCTCTGCAGTCAGGCTCTGAAATTGGGCCTGGGCTCGGGTGGGCTGCCTCAGCCGCACTGCATGGTGGCCAGCGGGGAGGACCAGTGCTTGAGAGCAGACCCGAGCGTGTGCGCAGGGGTCGGAGGACGGGCCCCAGAGCAGCCCGGGTCCCGCCAGGGCTCTGGGGGGCTTATGCAGGCGGCGTAGACACCGTGGTCTGTGGTTCTGAGAGTATAGAACAGAGAGAAATGAAGGTGTGGACTTTTAAAGCACAATCTAATTGTTTTTTTCCTGTTAAATTCAAGGCCCAAGGAGGTGATAGCATTTTGCAGAGATTGAAAAGAATAGTATTTGATGCCAAATCTACTATTGTGGTAAGTTAAGACAGTTTGTTCAGTATCATTAATAACTGAGAATGTGTAAGTAGAAAGACTCTTTGTGTCTAACTAATGTAAAATCTGGAATCTCAAAGAATTTGGCAAAAACAAATCTTTTCAATTTGCAAAATAAGAACTAGACTGTATGTTCAGTAAGAAAATACATTTATCAGGTGGAAATTAGGTCTCTTTAAATTCATTTCTGTGCGATTGGAGAGTTAACTGGGATTCAAAACCTGTTACTTGATAGTACGACTCCGCAGTGTCTCCTCCTCCTGCCCGGAACTCCTTGCTCAGAGCTCTAGAGACCCTTCTCTCCAGCCAGCATGGGCTCAGCTCAGCCTGCAGGGGGCATGCTGGGATGTGTGGGTGCCTGAGCTTGGTTCTGCTCGTCCGTCCTGAGCTTCCCCGGCCTCTTTCCTCCTTTATGGCCAGAAGCAGTCGTTAAAGAAGAGCTGGCGTCTTCTCTCGGGGAGGAATACATGTGTTAACCTGTGGCTCTTGCACGCGTGCTTCAGTTTGTCGCTGACCTTTCTCTTCCTCTTGCCTCCAACCTAGAAGGCCCTTCCCCCGTGCGCGGCCGCTCCTTGACCCGCACGGTGTCCTCACTCGGCCTGCCCTGTCTCCCCTGTCTGCGTGCCGGCTTTGTTTCCTCTCCTCCCTTCCCAGGATGCCCAGTGAAATGCTCTGTCCATTTCTCGCTTCCTGCTCGGCTCTGAATGCGAGTTCTGGGTGCTTCTAGCCGGAGACTCGTGCTGCACCTCAGCCTGCCTCTTTCTGCTCATCCTTCATTTTTCCACTTCACAACACCTCTACTCTGTGAAGCCTCCTTCCATTATCTCAATCCAGGGCGACCATGCTCTCCTCTGAGATCTGAATCCTTCTCGGCAGTTAACATGTCACAGCGCCGAGGCAGGATAGCTGAGAAGCCTGCGCGCTGCAGGTACTCGTGCTCCTCTGGGAGCTGAGGAGACAGTGTGTGAACTGAGGGAATCTGGTAAGGGAATGTGGCTCTGCTACTCACCAGGTGCGTAAAAAGTGTGAGGAATGTTAACTAGAAACTCTGTACCTTCTTCATGGCAGACGGCTGCTTCTCGGTGGGCAGCTCCCTGCCGCGGCCCCTGGGCTCTGGTAACGTGCCAGATAGCTGGTGGCTGCTGTCATGGCTTTAGAAGTGTCTATGTGGTGCCCTTTTCCACTGCCGGTAGCTGGCTATCCACACGCGCCCAGTTCTGTTTCTTACAGTGCCATTGACTTGGTAATTACTACGGAAATCCTGACATTGATTTTTCAAGAGCTAACACCAAGTTGGATGGTGTTGAGAGGAAGGAGCCTCTGAGGCTTCACACGCAGGTCTCTTTCCAGCACGCACCTGAGGGTGACCGCGCTGTGCTTGTCTCTCCGCAGTCCATATTCAAGAGCTCGCCACTCATGGGCTGCTTCCTCTTCGGCCTGCCACTGGGCGTCATCAGCATCATGTGCTACGGGATCTACACGGCCGACACGGACGGGGGGTACATAGAAGAACGGTACGAAGTGTCCAAGAGTGAGGTTGAAAACCACGTGCCGGCAGCAGAGAGCAGGGACCCGCAGGGGCCAGGAGACGCGCCGGTGCCCGCGGCGCAGGAACCCAAGGACGCGCTGGAGAAGAAGCAGGACTGAGCAGGGCCGGTGCCAGTGTTTGCTTGAATTTCCCATTATCAGAGCCTATTTATTGAATTTAGACATTTAATCATGATCTTTACAGAAGAGGACATGTTATTTGTATTTTGCTAATATCAAGTGCATGGATTAAAGTAGTCCTGCCGTGAGTGGGGAGTTGTGTGGAGCGAGAGGTGAGGTGCTTGTGTAAAACAAGAGAACAAACTCAGAGCACTGCGTCAGCTTACCTGTAGATGTCATTAGATCAGTTCTGTTTGCATGTTTCTCTACCTGAATATTCTGTGACAAAATGGAGATCTTTGGGCAGAATATTTAAGTTGGCCAGTCAGGCAGCAGGCAGATACGGTTTGATGTAGAAAAGTGCAACCTCCACCTCCTACCATCCATTCTCATCACGTATTTTGGATAACATTTATATGGACAAATTAAGTCTTTAAAATTTAGGCACTTTAAGGAAAATGAGTAAATTTTCCACAGGTCAGATTAAGATGACAAGAATAAAGATAATTTGGTTTTATATAGCATAGCAATTTTATTTTGTTAGTCGTTTTTAAAGGAGAAGATACATTAATTTTTAATTTTATACTCAGTTGCATTGTTACCAATTTTCCTATGGCCCTGTACAGTGAGGGAGAATAGTCTCACGTCTGATCTTTGCAACGTCTAAGGGTTTCCCCAGAGCGGTGAGCTGGCCCCGGGCCTCTCCCCAGGCATCTCAGCCTTCTCGGCCGCGTCCTCGCGAGGGCCTCTTCCTCCCGCCCTGCTTGAGCCACCACAGCCGGCTTTTCTCTTTTATATCTAGGGGTTTCCTCTATCAGTTTCCTTTGATTAAAAAGCTCCTGCTGTTTTTTAAAAAGTAATGTATATCCTAGTTTTATGTTGATGGTATAGTCACTTATGATCTGACGTGTGCGTGCATGTAAACAGAGTTTACTGACATTTGTCTGTTACATCATATGACGGGCACGTCCGTATTCACAGTTAGTCATGAGTGATGGGACCGGCCTGTCAGCGAGCATGCATGCCCAGCGTTAAAGCATCTCCGGTTACCTTCTCCAGCCTCACAGTTCTGTCACCCACTTCAGCCAGCGACCCTTCGTTGTCTGTCTATAAAGAAGCGACGTGCAAATTCCACCCCAAGTGATGTACAGACTGGGGTGTTTCTTAAGTGACAGTTTGCAATGATTGTTGTAGAGTAGTTTATATTGAGCTGAGTCTAGGATTGTTATGAGGTGACTGTTATTATTTGGCTGATTATTTGAGTAGTTGAGTTACCCAATGTAAGGGATTTTATTAAAATTTTAAAAGGTTTAATCACTTTAAAAATATGTCTCTCGTGGCCCTGATACTGCAGTGCTGAGGGCTTTGTTCCCAGAGGGCAGCCTTTGTTTATTTTTGATGCCAGGTTGATTGAAACTGCACTGAAACTCCTGAGTCCTGTGCTGAGGAATCGTCGGTGGCTTTCACTGTGTCCATGTGCTCTTCTCTGCAATGATTCATCCTCACACGTCACGTCTGCCACCCGCTGCGCTGCTTGCTGCGTGCAGTCACAGGGGCTTTCAGGAAATGGAGTAGGATGTTCTTAAATGGAAGTTGGAGAGAAAGTGTCCACAGTAGACTGCTTTCCAGGGAGGAGCGAGCGACGCTGTGGGGAGATGAGTGGACGCTGTGGGGAGATGAGTGGTGGGTCGGAGCCAGGCTGGCGTCTCCGCAGGGCAGGGCTGAGGCCAGCAGGGTGCCCTCGGCCTCAGGCTCGTAGCGTGGTGTGGCCAGTGATGGGAGTGGCCTGGGAAGAGCCATTGCATTTTCTTCAGATTCCTCAGCTCAGGTGCCCCTCACCGCCTTTTCTTGTCTCTTGTCACATCAGCGGAAGAGCCGCCCCAGGGGCAGAAAGCAGGCGTGCTTCAGCAGCGGAGTCCAGTGGCGGCCTCGCCTTCTGCCATTTTCTGGTCTGTGAGTTAACGTCTGGGTCTCCGTCGTCTCTTCCACAGTTCTGCACTGTTGCGCGGTGGCCTGTGTTTTCAGAATGTCTGATGGGGACACAAGGTGTGAGGATGGTTTCTAAGTGATTTATTTCATATTAAGGCTTTGCTTTTTACTTGTTTCTATTTGAGGATGTCGTCACATTTCTTGCAGATTTAAAATATTTGCTCACGGGTGTGCTTTGCCTTCAGTGTGACAGCAGAGCTGGGGAGGAAAGCTCCCTCCAAAATCAGTTTCTTAATCTAGTCGGAAAGTGTCGGTGTTCCTCTAATTCCATGCTGCCTCTCGAGGCCGCGCGCTGATGGGGGACCGCCCTTCAGCCAGCTGGAGATGCCTTATGCCTTGTCTTTGAGTTGTGACATAGTTCGACTTGCACAGTAACTCCTAAAACCCAGAATTCTGCGCGCTTGCTGTTGCTGAATCTGGTGCTCAGACATTATTTAAAGATATTCCAAGGAGAGAAAGCACATATTTTTATCAAGCCGTGCAACCCATTATTGGTGGCGCTGCTTTTTGTTCGTTTCATGGGCTATGATACCGTCTGCCTAGCTTCTGTTGTCTGAAACTTGTCTGAGGTGTTACACCTGTAATTTTTGTTTTCTTCCTCTCATGTCGAGTCAGATGTCTGATTTAGAAACGGGATTAAGAGCCAAGATGTCTTGAGGTTGAAGAATGGGTCTGTATGAAAAATTAACTGCGTTGTTTTTGTTGAGTGAATTTTCTGGTCTTGGTTCTGGTCTTGTGTTTGGTTCAGGGGCTTTTTTAGTTTGGATTTCGCAAAAAAGTAATTTAAGTACTTTCATCGTTGCTTCATATGCTATGGAGGTTGGACAGGGGAAAAAATCACTGAGCTCTTCTTATGCAGAAATTGGTCAAATAAACCAGTGCTGGGTGTTAGGACTAGCAGTTGGTGGGACTAGGTTTGCCATTTATTTTTATAAATATATATTTTTTCTGAATGGGTCCGAGTCCAAGAGTGGGCAACAAATAATTTTCTACTTTGGACTAATCTATAAAGGTTTTTGAAAGTCTGTATTACTCACTTGTTGAATTCATGAGATCTTGCCTATGGCACCAACTGTAAGCCTTTGTTTTCTAAAATGAATAAATTGAAAACATTTACAGTTGTATTTGTTTGGTCTTGTCGCTACTGAACTTTTGGTTGTTTGCAGCATGAACAGTCACCTGTGCAAAAAAGCAGACAACTAATCCTCATCTTCCAGAAAGCACCTTCCACACGTCTCTCTCTCTCTCTCTCTCTCTCTCTCTCTCTCTCTCTCTCTCTCTCTCTCTCTCACACACACACACACACACACACACACACGAATTCTAATTTGCACCCTGGAGAAACTGGTGAACATACTATTAGGCTGTAAGGTTTTCCTCTTGGCATTTGAGCTTGAAATTTGTGGGCCAGGCTATCGGGAAGGGCTGGTGAATAGAAGGGGGTGGAGAACAAGAAGTGAGCACCCCGATACTGATCGCCCCTCAGAGTCGGGTGCCCTTGACCTTGGTGGTACCAGTCCTGAAGACTCCATGCCGCCCAACACAGATGCCCGGCTCAGGAGTGGAGAAGGCGAAGGAGGTAAAAGATCTCTAGTTGTAATTTCCTCCCTCTGTCAGGAAGTCCCTCACTAAGGAGTCCAGAGTAACTGCAGCTTCTGCTCGGCCCCTTTGTCAGTGTTCTGGGTATTAAAACGTGTCCCTGAAAAATGCTTATGCTGAAGTCCCAGTGTCCAGTGCCCTTGAATAGGACTGTGCTTGGAGATAGGACTTCAAAGAGGTCACGATTAAAATGAGGTCCTTGGTGGGGAGCCCCGGTCGGGTCTGACTGGTGTCCTGACTTGAGAAGAAAGTTGGTCCAGTCATGGAGGAAAGACCGTGTAGACACGGGGACAACCAGACCAGGGGCCAGCCCTGCCTGGATCGCAAACTCCCATCCTCAGAACTAGGAGGAAAGGAGTTTCGGTCGTTCCATGTGTGCTGCTTATTCCTGCGGCCCCAGGAGGCTGGCGCGGTTGCTATAATAACATCAGCCAAGAGCGGAGACCAACACTGGCCTTCGTAAAGGCTTAACCACCTATTAACAGAAAACAACACAATGGGTTCCCTTGCACCAGGCTGGGGCGCAAGGCTGGAGAGCTGCTCAGTGCCTGGAGTAGGATCTTGAGGGGTATCGCCGGCCTCACCAGCTTAAAACAAGTATTTGCTTATAGAGATGAGATAATTCTATCCCAGATAGATCCTGGAGCAGAATGGATCAGTCATTACTGACTTGAAAATGACTGACTTGAAAATGACCAAGTACCCTCCCGTATCCTGAATCCCTCCCCCTGGGTAATGCCAGGAATGTCTCATGACCTGCTGCCCTCATGGGGCTTCTGTGTGTCTGTCTCTTCGAGTTGCTATGTTGATGCCCGAGTGGACAACAGAAAGGTAATTCTTGCCATTCTGGAGGCTGGGACTCTTCAGACCAAGTTACCAACAGATCCCGTGTCTGCCTCTTGGTTCACAGAGCCCTGGTCCTGTGTCCTCAGGGTGGGGGAGGAGAAAGAGCTCCCTGAAATCTCCCCACAAGGGCACTCACCTGTTCCTGATGGCTCCATGGTTGCCCCCCAAAATCCCACCTCCTAATTCCATCAAGATCGGTGTTAGGATCTCAGTGTATGAATTTGGGGAGACCCAATAGCATTGCAGGTGAGAAAATGCAAAATGAGGTGCTTCTCTACATGCCTCTAGATGCTTCCATGCATGCCTTTCAGGCGTATCCTGAATCATCCTGAGTTCTAGCTCTTTGGGATGTAAATATGTCTCTCCAGGGAATGACTGCACTATTATCTCCATGCGCTGGGATGGCTCCAAACTCAGATCTCTGCACCACTTGGAATAAAACATTATTAGTTCTGGGAGGTAAATCTCTCAAGTTCTAGCTTAACAGTCATAAATTGCCTTCCAAACCTCGCTTGCACCCTCTACTCCTAGGTTTCAGTGAAAGTTGCTCAGAAAGCCCTCACAATGCAGAAACAGAGAAATATATTCTGGAAAACCCCACAAGGTGTCAGCAAACTTTGTTCTGTGAGTGCCAAGCAGTAACGAAGGGAGATTTGAGGACCAGGCTCGGCCGCACATGCTTTTATTTTTTGGAAAAAAAATCTTTAAAAATGTGGAACTCTTTCTTAGCTCAAGGTCACTTCAAAAACAGGCCTCAGGCTGGATTTGGCCGGGAACCATGCTTGCCTGGAAGAGGGAGAAAGCCTTCACCGGGTCTAGAACTCCACGCCACACAGAGGGGTGAGCTCATTTTTTGTTTGATCAAGTTTGGGAATGGACTGTGACTTCCATGAAAGGGGAATTTTTACTTACGACTTTTCATACACGCGTATGACCACAATATGGATTTATTGGGGGGTACTGGGAGAGGGCAGCCCCGATATGAACTGGGTGACCTGCCTGTGGGTCCTCCCCTGCAAGCTTTAAAGGGACTTCCACTAAGTCTTAACCGCGGGCACACACAGGGTAATAAAGTGTTTATTTCTAAAGAAGGGGAAATGAAGAAATGAATAACTCGGGAAAAGAGAGGGAGAGAAATGGGTGAATGCATCCTACCAGTTCTGCTGAGCTGGGACCCCAATAGCACGCTGAGAGCTGGCGAGAAGCCAGGAGCCGCCAGGCCCACATTCTGGTTGTGCACCAGGCCTGGCTGCTCACTCACCTTTAGGTCCCAGCAGCCCTCCCTTTGCTGGTGACGACGTGACGGGATTTTTAGTCCTGGTATGTTGGATCTCTTTGGTCTGGGGTGGGGGTGGAGCCATAAAAACCTATTTGTGGAGTTTGTACAGGACGTCAAGGCCTTTCTCCCCAACACTACGCCAATGTCAGCGCAGATTCAATGGCAGCAGAAAGGGGCAGATACAAACCTCTTGGCAAAATGCTGGAGCTGGCGCTGCGGAGTGGGCAGGACCCGTTCCAGAGAGCCGGAGTGGGTCTGTCTGCAGCGGAGATGGGGACGCGTCTCCACGTCTAGGGCCAGGTTTGAGTCTCCCGGAAGATAACCGGGCGGGGAGCTGCACTTCTCAGGGTGAGAGCCCAGGAGCTCCACCAAGCCTGGGGAGGACTTCGGGCTCACAGGCACGGAGGCCAGAGCATCCCCAATGGGCCGAAGCTCTGGGCCTGTGTTTATGCCGCTCGTCAGGCCCATGATCAGAACCGCCCGTTCTTTTGTATTCAGGGGGGCTTTCTGCACAGCCGGGCGTCATCTGCCCGGGCCCCCCCTTGTCTGTCTATCAGCATCTTCCTAAAGTAGCGGTCACTTTCAGCTGCCTTATCTCGGCTGCCCACCGCCGATCAGTTGGTGTATTGCCATAGAAGCCAGTCGAGAAGGTTCCAGTATCGCCATGTACAGTTGTGATTCGGCCCAACCTCAGCTCCCCCACGACGGGTCCATTCCACAGGGCAAGTCTGATGTCACAGGGACATCCCAGCACTGGCCTTGGTTCCACTTTGTTGCAGTGACCACACCCATCTGCCTTTGGTGAGGAAGAGCCCTCTCGTGCGTGCGTGGTGCCCAACACCTGGGGTACCCCTACCCCTGTTTGTTCACGGGCCTGCTCCACGCGGCTGTTCCCTGTACCATGTGAGTTACGAAAGATAGTGCTTCCAGAAAGGCTCTTCTGGCATGATGGTAATCCTTCAAAATGGCTGGGGCTCCTTTATGAACGAATCTCCCGCAGTTCTGGTGAAAGATGTGTCTCTGGCCCTACCCAGAGCAGGTCTTACCTGGTAAATCCGCCCTCCTACCCCACTGGCCTGACCTTTCTATTGGACAGCTTTGTTGAGATATAATTCATAAGCGCTGGAACTCAGTCCTGTGAATTGTACAACCCAGTGTTCTTTTTTATAGTCATGTAGTTAGTGATCTGACTCTCCACTATCTAATTTCAGCTCATTTTTATCACCCCAAAAAGGGCCCTACATCCATTATCCAGTTAATTCCTGTTCCTCCCAGCCTCCAGTCCTAATCTACATTCTCTGTGAAGCTTCCAGCTTCTGCAAATGTTTAGCAACACGGTATAGCTAGACCTGTGTTGTGAGATGATGTCATGGATTTGATAAGCATCCAGTGACTTACGATCATGAGTATCTTCTCACATTCTACTGGCCACTGTATGTACCTTCTTTGTGTCACTGTGTATTCAGATCTTTTGCCCTTTTTTAAAAAAAATGGGCCTGTCTTAATTATTGCATTTTAAGATTATTTATGTATCCTGATACAAACCCCTTCACTCCAGTCAACATATTGGGAAAACCACATAATTGGTTCAGTTTTCCTGCATCTCCTCATGGGTCATGCTCAGCTCCTCATAACTTAGCGCCTGTTGGCAGCCATCCAGAGGAGGTCAAAGGGACTCACCGAGTTGGAAAAATTATCCCTATTGTCAAGAGGGTTCAGTGGAATTTAGGTGTCTGTCAGAATCTGCCCATATGTCCTCCTACCAATTTTCAGGGTTTCATTCATTTCTATTTAAGATCCCAGCTTCCACAAAAGAGACTCTGCAGTCCTGAGGATTCAATTAGTGTTGTAATTCAACCATGTGCAAGATACACCTATGGTTTGCTTTTTAGAAATCTCACTCCAGTGGCTACAGGAGACAAGGATTTCTTTCAAGGCAGCTTTTGGGTCCTTGAGGCAGACATTGAGCTGGGAATTTAAGGCCCTGAGCTCATCATTTTCTTCCCCCCAAGTTCTTCTACACAGTTAGAAAGCAACAAGCCAATCCATTATGTTCCTTATTTCCACTAAAGTACACTAAGTCATCAAATACTGAGCTCTCCAGAGCATTGCTTTCTGTCAGCTTTCGCCACAGCATGCCATGGGTTACTAATGACCCATTCACACCAGAAACCAGGTCACATGTGCCCTTCAATCTAATTTGATGAGCGCCAACTCAAGAAAACCCAAACTGATTTATAGAATTTACCCTTAAGGCTCTGTTCCTCTGGAGCCACTCCCAGGACCAGAGTCTGTATAAGTAGGACTCAATCGGGGAAGTGGCATTGACAGGCAAAATGTGTGTCTGAACACACACAACATGTATTCCTTTGTCCTCTTCCAGTTGGAGCTGGCTAAGTCAACTGTCTTTCCAAGGCTGCGTCTTCACATCTAGTGATGGAGTTTGAACTTCCCTGAAGAGACAGAGCAGGCAATTCAGAAGGGAAGGTGAACACGGCTGAGGAGAGCAAGAATAATTTGGAGCCACCGAGATGGAATGAAAGCGCGTCAGTCAGCTCCTGCTGGACTGACCTTGTGGTGCGGGCGTCATGCAGTAGCCAGGACATTCAACGAGAAGCTGGTTGAAGAACCACAGAAGGGGGACCACCGGGCGGCGGCCAGTAATGACCTTGTGCCAACGAGGAGGCCGCAGAACACCTGCACCATGGGCATCCCTGGCGTCCAAGGCGGCCTTTTACCCACAGTGTCACTCAAAAAATTCTCTTCTGCCCATTCTAACAGGAAACAGAAAAGGGATTTCTGGAAACTTTTTCAGTCTAGTCAAGTGGACACATGACAAAGCCACATCCTGGTTATATGACTTTTAATTTTTTAACAGTTTTATTGAGGAATAATTGATACACAAAAATGGCACATGGCAGTGATGTGACAATTTGATGAGTTGTGCCTATTGACACCCATGAAACTATTTCCACAGTCAAAGTATAAACATACCCTTTTCTCCCAAGTTTCGTCCTGTCCTTTTATTTTGTTTTTGTTTTACTGTGGTAAGACTATCGAACACGAGATAGCGTATGTAACCTTTCTTTTGGCTGTATTTACTGAAGTAATATTGATCGACATCACAGCATGTGTCTTAGGGGTGTAGATTTATACCTCTACAATTGCATGTTATTTCACCACACCCACCACCCAAACCCCAGTAATCCTCAGCTAGCGCCCCCTCTCCCTTGGCCTGACCCTTCCACCTCCCCTTCTGGGAGCCTCATAGCCCAATGTGCTCTCCCCACCTTGCTTTTGATGTAAATGATTGTTGGGATTTGAATGAGGGAACAGAAGCAAGGTCATAGAATAAATTAAGGCCAGGGATGAATCAATGTGTTAGTACTAAGAAGTGAGTTTGTGTGCACAGTCTGAGGGGTTGGTGATCCAGAAAAGTGGCTGCATTGTATTAACAGCAATCAATACTTGTTTGTGATTTGCAGTTTCAGCTTGTAACACTGTGCCATTTTTTGCTTCTGAATTCCTGAGAGATATTGATGTGTAATCTGGGTATGCAGAAGCAAATGAAGCTGAAAATACTAAAGGCATCATAATTCAAAACTGATAGGTTTCTGGACCAGTGTACTTATTGAAAGTTAAGGAAAATCTAAATGTACACTCTATACACCCAAGTCTTTTCTTTCTTTAGTTGAAGATGAACTAGGTCTACCTCAGGGACCCAAAGGCCATGCTGTGAGATAAAAGAAGAAAAAAGATGTCACAGAACCTAAAAAGTCATCAGTGGATCGGTGATTTACTGATGAGTCTGATTCAGCAGAATGTTGGCTTTAGAAATCTGAGGGCCCGGGAGAAGGCTCAGGAGTTCCACATGAACTAGAATAAATCTAAATTATAGGAAGGGAAAAGTGATTTATTTCTCACTATGCTATTTATTCCAAAGTGTTCCACTTAGTTGAACTATTAATACTCTGAATAAAACACTCAAGCTAATATTGTACAAGGACACTCACACTCGATTCCCTGTTTCTCCTCCTTAGTGATGGACAGAAGCAACCAGAAGGCCATAAACTCATCAAAGGATTGTTAGCCAAGACAATAAAAATTACTAGAAAGCTCTTAGCAAAGCCAAGTGCTATAGGAATGCTAAGTAATGGGGCCAAGCTTTCGAGGTGAGTGACAATGATCTGTTAGACGAACACAAGCAGAATGTATTTCACTTTTTTTAAATTTTCTTATTGATATAGAAAAATAGTAAAACTATTACTTGTTTTTTTTATCAAATATGTTATAAAAATTTCTCCAAGTTTGGTTTTGTAGTTTTAATTTATTATGCTGTGTTAAGATTTTTTAAATTTATTTTTTACATCATTGTTCATTTTTAAACAATATCTGCTTTCCCCAAAATAAAAACAGACAAATATTTCACTCTTTAAGAGAGAAATGAAGGAGGTTAATTAGGAGGACTTAAGTAAATCAGATTGATAGAAAGAGGGGCGTAAATTGGTGTGTGTGTGTGTGTGTGTGTGTGTGTGTGTGTGTTTGGGGCCATGCCTTTGATAAGTAGGAGGTAGATACATAATTTTAGTTATTTTATCTAAAAATTCTGACCATGTAAAGGTGGGTAGTTTGAATTGAATTCAACTAGACTTTGTTTATGTATCATCTACTATACACCAAATGTTGTTAGGTTACTAGAATTTTAAAATAAGAATATAGACATTAGGACTTCTCTTCATCTTGAGGGGGGAAAAGATATCCATATGAAAATCTTAATAGAATGTGGTTAAGACTGCAAGCTGAGGGCCTCCCCAATAGAGCAGGGGTTGAAGACAGCACTATGAAGCTATCGCCAGCCACTGTAGCATGAGTTCAATCCCCGGCTGGCCAGGGAGCTACCCACATAGCGCAGCAGACCTCTCCTGTCTTGCCTGCTGCTCCCTTCAGCAGTGTATTTCAGTCAGTCTGCCTGTTCTGTTCCCCGCTGTCTCTGGTGAATCTTCTCACCCCCCACACCTCTGGCTTACACCCCAGTTCTTGTATGCATAAATAAATAAATCTTAAAAAAAAAAAAAAAGGCTATAAGCTGATTCCTCAGCAGTGGAACACAGACACCAGAGCAACTACCCTGAGTCCCCCCAGACTGTCCTCTGGAGCGTGAACTGGAGTTTAATAATCCCTTTTGGGTTTGCTGTTTCGTGGGCAGTGAACGTGGTCCTTTTAAGCCAGCATTGGTTGAAATCTCTGAAGGACACTCACACTAATTGCACCTTTGTGATAATTTTGAGGGTAAGAAAATATTTATCACAAATACTGGAAGCAATTGTGAACTTAACATTTATAAATCATGGATCTACCTCCAAGAACAACTGGAATTATAAATGGTTAATATTCTGGTTCTTTGTGTGACTAAGAGCAGGTGATTTACTGAACAAATTATCCTTTTACCAGTAGAAAGGAGAGACTTGCTAACCATCCCTGTGATGATGATCATATTATAACATATAAATATGGCAAATGAACATTTGTGTACCTTTAATTTATATAGCTACAAGTTAAGTATATTTTTAAAAGTAAACACTTGTTATAACAAAGTTTGCAAAAGTGGTACCTGCTTGGTATGAATAAAAGTGGTTTTTAAGTGGGTATAAAAATAGAAAGCTTCCCCTAGCACTCCACTTTTATACAGCACATAGGACTTTTTTGATATGTGATATAATAATGTTTTTTCCTAGTTCACTTTCTGCAGATTGTTGCATAACGTGTTATTAGCCTGGTTATGAAGAAATAGAAAATTCTCAGTCTTCTGGAGAGGAACAGAAAACTGAAGATCATTTCTTAATAATTAAAATCTCCTTACGGCTATAGGTAATTCTTAGAGTTGACCATATTTCATATTTATCTCTCTGACTCCATTGTCTTAAATTTATAATAAGATAGATTGTTATCTTATAGTCCAATTAGTAAATATATTACTTAATGTTAGTCCATTGTCAATAAAAATGATCGATATTTGCTGACTGTGGCACTGGACTTAGATATTAAAGAAACTCATCCTAACCCCTTTCTTCACTTACTCTTTGCAATTATTTCAGTCTTATCCTTTGCCACTGATCTGGACCCTATTTGAAATTTTAGGATCAACTCTTGCATATGATTAATTAAAAATCAGAGCTGCAGCTTACGGTATTTTCAAGAGGAAAGAAACTCTCTGGTGTGCTGAAAATGTCCTCCCATTGTTTAGACTTTTCTTCCAAAAAAAAAAAAAAAATGGAATCAGCAAATAACACCACAATCTGTAAGTAATAACCTGTTGGGAGGATTGAAGGGCCAGGAAATCGACAACAGCGATTAGAATCGATAGTGTGGGAGTCAGTAATGTTACATGAATTATTTAGTTTTATACTTCTTCCTTAGGAAAAAAAAAATATCTACTGGTTGAGCAAACAAATGTTCTCATTACATCCTGTCACTCATCCCTAACCACACATGACTGGGTGGTTATTTAGAGAAAGATTATATCTGAGGAACAAGTGCCGACTGACTCTCCTATAAAATGCAGCAGAACTTTGAAAGAGCAGGTTCCCAGGGACAAGTCAACCCTGTAGCTCCCCAGGAACGTTCATTATCTCTAAGCCATGCCGAGCAATATTTCTCAAATAAAATGGTAGCCCGCAGAGGTCCTCCTGAGTATGTGGGCAGAATGAGTAGGATGACAGCAAACCAAGTGCAGAGACCTACAGGTGACAAGCTCCACTGAAGATGATAAATTCATTATGAATGAACAAAGCCAATGTAGTCACCCTTCACCATTCCTCCCCCGCTCTCCAGCCAGCTCCGGGCGTCCTGCTGAGAACCAGAAGGAAACAAGGAATAGTTAAGAAGGACTTAACCGATGTGGAATCTAAAAAAGGGGAAATTGTGAAATTGGAAAGTAGAAAGGTGGTTACCAGAGGTGGGAGGGAAGTTGGGGAGATGTTGCTTAAGGGCAAAGACTTGGAGTCAGTCAATGAATATGTCCTGGAGATCTAATGCACAGTACAGCAATTACAGACAACAACGTGTTAGGAACGACTAAGCTGCTAAGAGACTAGCTCTTCATTCTTCCTGTCACAAAATGGAAATAATGACGTGAGGTGCTAGAGTGTCAGCCATGGACATCTACAGGCGCATCAGGTCACAAGGTGATCACCATATGTTCATACTGTTCTGTGCCCATTATGTTGCAATAAAAATAATTTTTTAAAAAGAGAGAAACACAACTCCTTCTCTCTTTTCACAAGATTCCATTTTTACCTGCCTTGTAGGGATTAAAAGACCAGACAAGACAAAAGTTGGGTCATTAGCAGAGGAGGGAGGTCACAGAGAAGGGAGTGTCTCTGGGGTTTGGCAGAGTTCTTTACATTTGACTCTGAACTTCATAATGAACCAAAAAGAGACACACTGGAAGAGGGCATTGAGAACCCCAGAAAGCAGCAACCCCAGCTGGATCTAGCCCCAACTTTGTGGAACTACACTATGACCTCATTCTAACATAGAAACAACTAGGAACAGCCTCAAGACAAAACAAAGCAAGAGATGCGAGACTGTTTTGCTAGGATGCTGCATGGATCGCAGAAGAAATGCAGTTTCCCTTTGAACGCTAACTGGTGTCCACTAGGGTGAGGGTATCCTGAGTCCTCAGGAGCTCCAACTCTATCCTTAGATAAATGTGTTGTTTTGCAGCGGGGGAGGGAGGTCTCAATAAATTCCATAGTTGTTCCTCGCGCATGACCCGTTTCTTCCTGAATTAGGGACCCCACTCCCCTCCACAATAGACGTTCTAGGACTGCTCCACATTGGACACCGTTTTTAAAATGGAAAGGACTTTATCCAAAGCTAGGGGTATAGACATGGGTTGAAACTGTCCTTTGAAAAAATTTGTTGATTTATATTGAGGCAAGACTAGTTCACAACACATGAGTTTACAGCAGTGTCGTTCCCACCACGCCAGCCACCAAAGGTCCAGTCTCCATCCACCAACAACCAGTTGTCCCCTCACGTGACCCCCCCTTCTCCGCTGGTAACCTTCATTTTGTTGCCAGAGTCTCAGGGTTAAATGGTGTTTGTTCACCTGCTGTAGACAGTGGCAATTTATTAGAGACCTAGTTTCTCATACTTTCATGAATAATAGATGCTATTTAAATTTTTAAAAATCTAGTGAGAAAAGCAAACCTTGTTTGATTTTTGCAAATGAGGCTTACTATTACATAAGCTTACTGGTCACCTCAGTTCTGTGGTTAGTGATTCATTTTGTATTCACTTGTTTCTATTTTTCTGTTTCAGTGCCATTATTTTCACCCAGTTGTTATCTTATCTTGCAAAGGGAATGCAACTGAGTATTTGAATCCTGTTTGTTAATCTGCATTATTTGATGTGGCAATTTGATACTTTTACATTAATTAGATTAGTGATCATCAGCATTGGTTTAATGATACTTAGTTGACATTCTCTATTTGTCACACCTTGTTTAGTAATTTTCATTTCAACTTTTTGCTCTATTGCTAAATATCCTCTATTCTTCATTCCTATAATGATCTGAAACTCTCCATTCTGTTATAATTTTTCAGAAGATGTTCTTAATTTTTTAAGCTGATTTAAACATGCTTATCTATCAAATAAAGAACCATCTGGGACTTTATTCTAATGCTTTTATTTTTAAGGACTACTTCCCTTACAGCTGCAATATTTCTAGCTGTAATTGTTGTGATTTATTACTTACACTGTTTATCATATTTCTTGCTTTCCTCTTGGAGTTCTTTCTCATTTTGCTAAAAGAGTTGTCTGTTTTTCATTCTTTCTTTTCAAGATTGTATATTATTCTAGAGTGTGTACCTTTCCATAGAGATTTTAGAATAAACTTATTTATTCTAAAATACCAAATTAGCTTCTTTCATTTCTAATTCATATGTGTGTGTTGGTGAGGTGAGAATGTAGGGTTTGTTTTTTTTTTTCTGTAGCTTTATTAACTCAAACCAACAAGTTGAGTGTTTCTTTGGATTATGGTATTTTCATACATATGATATTTTCTTCCTCTTCTGGGTTACAATTCACTTTTACGGTGTACTTGTCTAATACAGTGAAATTTCGCCAACACTTTGGATGTTGAGGCTAAGTTCAGTGTGTCACCATCATTATGAATATTATGATCAGTTTAATTTCCAGTCTCTCCTCTTTAGCATTTCTATTCCTCATTTAATCTTATTTCTTTCCTTTTCCTACATCTTCTTGAGCCCAGTTAAAAAATGATTAAATAAAGAGGAAGTGTTGACAATAATCATAATGATAATTATAAACCACAAACCTTTTAAAGTACTAGGAGACACTGAGACTATTACTTTCAATCTCTTAAATATTTACTCAACATGAGGCAAATATCATTCTTATAAATATGCATTATTTAAGATTTTTATTATGTCTCAATAACAGATTAAATCCATCTCCCACTGGTTTAATACACAGTTTTATTTTTTACTTAGAGCACAGACCCAGCTTGGGTCAGTGGTATATATAACCACTCAGCAGCCCAGACTGTTGGAGATTTTGCTGTCTTATGCTACCCCAACTTAAACAGGGGGATTCCCTGGTTGCCAGAGCAACTCATATTTATAGACAATTGGTAAGCACCTGCTCTATTTTAGGGGTGGAAAAATAATCTGATCACATACCAAAATGCGAGAAATGGTATGGATAAAACACTAGATGTCTCTATGTACTCTATTTTACAGTTCAGAAATGAATGTTAGCAAGAACAGGTAATTTTCCAAAGTCTGTACATCCAGTATATAATCTCCATTTCCAGGAAACTTACAATTTTAGTAAATGAAGCTCCTGGGATTTGAACATGAGTCTGTCTGCATTTATGACTTTATAAGATGTAGTGACACATAGATTAGGAGAATTTTTTAAAATGTGATTTCTACTGGAGAATTTAAGACATAGCCACTAGTACTTTTATGTATTCTGAGAATAGAGTGATGAAAATTACAAATTTTTTCATCTAGAATGACAGTGTCAAATCAATAAATCTTTCCAAGATTGTAAAGTTGTTCCCAGTGAAAAGCAGACTCCTTTAGTGACTGACAGCACGTGTCTGGGCACAAACCACAATTCTAGTTCAGTATCAGAACTAATTTAAAAGCCAGAGATTTCATATTTAGCAAGTGTTTTTGTGTATAAGACTTGAGGATATTCTGAATGTAAGCTGGCTAAATTAAAGAAATAACTCCTGGAAATAAAAGCTTCCTTCTACATATATATTTTATGTTAGATAATGTATGGTGATAGTTTATGAATCATGCATTCCATTTGTTTATTCAACAAATATTTAGTGAGCTCTAAATATGCCATAGTACTCCTCTAGGTTCTGGGAGCCCAGTAGTGAGCAAAAGGAAGTCCTCTGTCTTTGTGCATGCTGGTGGGGAAGACAGAAAATAAGTGAGTGAAAGTAGAAAGAGAGTGAAAGTAAAAAAGAACACAGGAAGGTATGATGAGACATTTGAAGGCTGATTTATTTGCATTTCTCAGGCACCTGTCTGCACACCAAATTGCTGAGGGAAGGAACTAGTGTTTCCTGCAGGAACATGGTCCTCCCCAGCCAACGGAATGGTGTCATCGTGCAGAGTCCTCCCAATGTCTCACTGTACAGACTTTGCTTTACTAGAAAGGTTTGTGTTCAATAAAGCTACACTGATACCATGATAGAAGTATCTCTGAGTCCCAGTCTCCAAAAGTAACAGGTTGGAAAAAAAAAAAATAACGTGTCAATTAGTGTCATGTTCTAGACAATTTCATTATTCATAGAAAACTGTTGGTATTAGTGTCACTTAGGATTGTGCAGCAAAATGTCACAGCAAAGAGATAATAATTTATATTTATCACATCAGACTGTAATGTCAATAGCTGTTCAGCAAAGAATCCCTATACAGACTTAATGCCATGGATTGCGTTTCTTCCCCAAAGGAGCTCATGTTTCAGCAATGTTGCCTTTTGAGAAAGATGGATGCTATAAAAAATGGGATCGTCTCCTAGAAGCCCTGAGACGCTTCCTTTGCTGTTTCTGATGATATTTGAATGAACTTTGTTAGCTTAAAAACTTTCAGATGGCGATGAGAAAAAGCCTTTGGGAGTTAAAGAATTGCAATTTGAGGTCCACAAAATTAGGCAAGAACCTAAAAACTGTGCCCCAAGGAGGGACTAAGTCGGAGGCTTTTCATGGGAAGAAAAGAGGAAAATGAGGCCAGTGGTTAAAGACAAGAGATGATTAATTTTAACATCTTAAACTATTTGCTGTACCTAATTGGTTATGAGTCTCTAAAAGGGTGAAAAGGGAACTGACGGATCTGTCCTCTGGCTAAAGTCCACAACCATCAGTTCTCATGATCTGTGCGTGTCTTTGCAAACAATTGTCTGCTGGGTAGTTTCTTAAAATAATTTTTTTTTTTTTGCCCAACCCGTAGATTTTCAGCCTGGTTCAAACAAGGAAAATAATAATTTCTCTCTAAAGATTCCCAAATTCCATTTTAAAGATGGTGCCACAGGTGTCAGCTTTTCACAATGTTATTTTCCCTTTTTAGGATAGATCTTAATATCTCTTTTTCCCTAAATTTCATTTTATTGTGGTAAGAACTTCCACCATATGGACAGCTTTAAACAATAAATATAAAATTATTTTTCTGAAACTTCATATGGATCTATAGGAATAGATGAAATTCATAAAAAATACTTTCAATATAAGATATATTATTTCCCAAGAGATTTCTCTCAAATAAAGAGCAAAGTCTATGGACAACCTTGGAAAAGGTTAGAGTATGAAAATTAGACTCTTTATTACCAAAAAGGAGGAAATCAATGTACTTACATGCCCTCCACATCCATTCTCCTAAACTACTGATTTTATTATTTTTTTTATTTTCAATAAGTTATATCATTTTTGCATTCTGTTCTGTAACTCCGGTTCCTAAAGTTGGTTACTTATATAGTTTTAGCGTAAATCAGTTTAATACTCATCCCCCATCCCTTTACACAGTATCTTTTCCCGAATTCTTTGTTTTATATCTGCTCTGGGTTGACTGGATTTCACCTTAAAATAGATTTTTCATTTCAAGAAAAGCTCATGGGGCCTATGTTTCCTTAGTTAAATATGCTCGAATATGTATCTCTATTTCCTTAATACTTTTAGGGAAAAATGAACAGAATGACATTCTCTTTTCACACTTTCCATCCTCAAAATTTTGCTGACATTGGAAGCTCAGTGACCCCTGAAATACATGTATTTTCCTTTTTGTAAAATTACGTTTTTCTTCATCTCACTATTGGTGAGTATATTCTTTA